ATTATACTGCATCTGTTAACATTTGCTTACCTTTATCAGGTGAAGAAAAAAAATGTTTCAATGATAATGATAATGATGAGTTACTCAGTTACGACAAATTGGAATCATCTTTGAACTGTTTCACATTTTCATCATTATCATCAGTTGATTCTTTCCCCATTATTTCCTTTCAATTTCGTCTTTTAATGATAACAAAAATTTTCATCAATATTAATAACAAGCTGACTCGGTATCATTTTCAATAATGATTCAATAAAATGTCAACCATTTCATGCAAAACTCATGCAAAGAATCACAACAGTTGATCAACAATCAGATTCAAGAAGCAAATTGCTGGCAGAAATTAAAGTGGATAAAAAATTGAAAATTAACTGATTCAAGTAATGCAAAATAAGCTAAACTTGTTGATGAAAAGATCGATGACAAGCTTTGACTTTGATAGTCAAGTCTGATATCGATTCGTCTATCGAAGCATCGTTCAATGAAATCAATTATTTTTGCACGATAATGATAAGTTGCGAACTGAGTTTAATGCGAAGTTTTACCAAATGGTTTGCACAAAATTTCCAAGTCCAGACTAAAGCTGTGAATTGCATTTTATTGTGTAAGTTACTTGGGCTTGATGTGGGAAACAATGAACAAAACCCGAACAATTATCTTGTTATGGGTGTTGATGAATGGAAATGCAATGTCAATGATAATGGCTAATTTTTCAATCAATTGTTATCAATTGGCAAAAAACTTGGATTAAATAATAATCTGTTTTAAAACTTTGTTCAGGTAATAAAGTACTTATGTTTTCTCGAGTAAAGGAATTGATTGAAATTAAATAACTTGAGTGATTATTTTTTTATTATTATAATGATTACCATTACGATTGGTGATAATACAACTGCAGCTAAAATATAAAAATAGTATAACCTTGAATCAAGTTGATGATTAGTGAATGAATAAAAAAAAATACAAGAAGATGGCGAACAAGAAAAAAGAATATAAAAAAGGGGATTCATCTATTCTCATCATCACCATCATTTTCTTTGAGCACTTTTCTCCTTTAAATTCCCTAAGGCCATTATTTTTGATGCTCAATCGACATTCAGTGTAACACTAACAAAAGAGCAAGAATTAGATAAACCAGTATGACAACATGATTTTATCTAATCGATTAATAAATTAACAAAATATGACTAAGAATGATGAAGGATAGAGAGCAGCTTCGAAGGTCTCGAATCTCGACAAATGCATTTTATGGTTATGCAAAGGTAAATGCGAGTTTTGCAAAAAGTTAAAGGATTTTCATTTCAATTTTCAAATCTTGAAAATTCTGATTCTGAAAGTTTGATGATCGACAAATTTTTGAAATTTTCTTCTGGAAACTTTGGTTTCTTATGACTAGTTTGGTGATGGTTTATGAAGAGGACGAGAGATTATTAAAGTTGATGATTAGAGTTGGGCGTGAACAGGTAAACTGGAAAGGGTTTATTAAGGTTATTTGGTGCGATTAAAATTAACTGAATAAAGGATTAGGATCACGTAATTTGAGGGTTTGGCTGAGCCGAGTGGATGAAGGGAAAGAGGGAAACTTTGTAATGAGATTAATATCTTCAATTTATCACCAGATTGGGTTGAAAAGGGAAAGCCCAAGAATTTCAATTTTTTGGAAACAATTCTGTGAATTTAAAGTCCATCAAGTCAGTAGATGGCGACACAACATTTTGTTTACTTTTTTTTATGCGTTTACACGCACTGAAGAGACAATGATGATCATGATGATGATGATGAAAATGATAGTAATAAGGATAATGAGGATGAGAGAGAGAAAAGTAGAAGGAAAATTGAATAATTTTACCTTCCTGAGAAATAAAAGAGATCATTTGATCTTCCTTATTATTCAATCATGATTCAAGATTTTGTTCACTGAACTACTGAGAGAGAGAGAGACAAGTCTTTAATCAAGTTAGCTATCATTTAAATTAACCAGATTAATTAATTATTCAATCTTTAATGAAGATTACCTTAACCAATGGAAAAGAGAGAAATATCTTTAAACTGTTGAATGATCGGTGTAATCATCAACAACATGATTTTAGTAAACATTTTTTTTTCAACTCATCTGCTTACGGCTATCCCATGGCAATCAGAATGGTAAGAAGATGAAAAAATGAAAAATCATGACGATTATAATGAAGATAATGATGATGAACCCCTTTTTTATTTGTTAACAAAATGCATTTAACTTTCAACTCTTTATGTTTCTAATTGCATATTATTTTTGATATAACTTTAAATCTACCTTGTAATGGTAAATCTGGTGGAATGATTAAGAGAGTGAAAGATGATTATCATGAAGAGGATAAAGATGAAGAAGAAGAAGGGGAAAAATTGTAAAATGATGTAAATTCATTTTCACTCTTTACTCTGACATTATGATATAATAGCTGTTAGACAACTATTTTATTTCCCTTTCCTCCAATCCTCAACTCTTTCGCCATTTAACTTGTTCCTAGCATTTCAGGCAAATGATTATACTGGTTAACCTTGGAAGAAACATTCAGCTTTAAAACATGAAACATGGACTCACTGGAAACTCTCTCATCATCCTTTTCTTCCGTCCTCTTCTCAATCCCAAAGGAGCCAAAATCTGCTCTTACTTTCCTCTTACTTATCATGGCAAGATTTCACTTTTTTGTTCAATGGATCCCCACACAATCCATGTATTATGTAACCAAGATCTGATTCATTTGACTGATTAACTCTCAAGGTTTTCCTCTTTTTCTTCATTAACTTTATCTCCTTCTTCTCATCCTCATTCTGTATTCCTTCATGGGCAAAATTCATGCCCATGAGATTTTAGGTAAGAAAAAATTGACTACTTTTAGAGCAATCCGTCAAAGTATATCTGGTGAAAATTGTGTGTGAGTGTAAATTATATTGGTTAATTTTCATGATAAAAATTATCTTCATGATTAATATGAATTTTAAAGAAACTTGTCCCAAAGACCTTGATTACTTTAAGCCTAAAGTTGCATCTTTTAAAACATGTTAGGTAAACAATGATTATCACGCAATCAACAAACATTCACGAAAAATAATCAGAAAACAAACAATTCACCTTCGCAGTTGCAAATATTAATTACATTGGCCAAATCAAGAAAGTTGAGTAAGAAATTGAAATGAGATTAACAATGGTTAACAGATGAGCAACTTGCAGATAATTAATGGAAAAATATTAAGATTTTTTTGTATAAAGCGATTGAAGAAAAAAAATGAAACAGAAATCAGGTAAAAATTAATGAGATATTGAACAATCAGAGAGACAATTGAAATTAAACAATTGAATCATTTGTGAAGAGAAAAGGTTCATTATAAGATTGCTGGTTATTTGAATCAAATGGTAATAATGGTAAAGTGTTGATCAATAATCTGTCGTGTTCGTCAAAACAATAAGGTAAAAACAAATCAAGATAATCACAGTTGAGGAAATAATCATTTAAAGACAATTAAGAGTTAAAGTAATGACAGACAATTTAATCATTGAATATTGGACGAAATCGCAAGTCTGCAAAAGCTTCTTAATCACAACAAATCAAATGCTAAATATTTGTCACAAACTCGACTCTCAAGATCTCAAAGTAACTTTCAATTTTCAAACTGATTTTCGAATAATATCAAATGTTGATATAACAGTGGCTAATGATAGTAACCAGAAAAGATGATTTAAATTGTCCTAAGGGAACCAGTTGATGTCTCAATGTGTTCAACTATCGGTGTTTCCTATCAGAATTTCATTATTACAGAATCTTAATGGATGAAGGCGAATGAAATGATAATGATGATCATGATGAGCCTGATACAGTTAAGTTGATTTTTAAGTGAAAAAGGTGTTCGGTGATGAGCATTTAAAAGACTCATAACGGCTATCTGTATGGGTTATCTAAATGATGAAAATGGCCTCAAGGTAACTTTAATGTACTCATCCTTTGTACAGTTTAACATGTTGTTCAAGAGAGATCAAAAAACGGATCACAAGTTTTATAGCATCAATGAAAGTTTCTCCTCTTCTTCCAGCACCTTAGCTGATAATTTTTACACAAAATGCTAGTTGATGTTAACAAAGGATGCAATTGAATTTGATCATAAAAATGTTCAGGTTTGCCTGGAGAAACTCACTTTTTACCATGTTTTATCAAATCTGAAGACACTTTTAATAACTTACAGGACAACATCAATAATAATCTTTTTTTTCAAACATTTTCACCATAATCGCTATTATAAATGTTATTATCACTATTAATATCACCATTATTATCATCATTATAATCATTATTATTATTAGTTAAGAAAATTTTGCTAATAAATGTAATAAGAAATTGTTATCGATAACTTTTTTTCTCGCCTTTTCGCGATTCCAAAATTCTGAAGAGGAAAAAGGAAATTGTCTGAGCAAAACTTAACCTACTAAAGATACTATTGAAAAATAGTGAACAAAGTTAATATTAAATTCATCAAACAAAAATATTAAACATTTTCATCTTCTTATTGTTATTAGTTTTAATGATGATAAATTTTCACCTTTTTTGCTCGCTTCAAATTCAACTTTGAAACTTTTTCATCATGAACAGTTGAACATTGTGAAGTTATCTTCTTTTTTTCTGCTGCTGTTCAAGAGGAAAATTGATATTATTGTTATTAATGATAATATCATATTTATATAGGTTGATATGGGAATGGTGGGTTGAACGTAAGTTGACCACCAAAGGCTACAATCAAATCAAGTGTTGATAGATTGATAAATATATTTAAAAGGTATAATAGTGGAATGAAGATGTTTAAGGAATCACAGGTAAAATAGCATGCTAATGATTATATGGTTAAGATGGAAACAAATGGCCGCAAAACTGCATTGTATTGATAACAGGTTTTTAACTTTGTTAAATCAATTTCATTGTAATTGTTGTCAATAAAATGGAACATGAAAAGAGAGGAAAAAAAGTGTTTACCTGATCAACCGGGTTTCCTGAATTGGCTAGTAAACTATAAGACTGGGCCAGTAATACTTGAAGTAATTTATCTTCGATTTCATTGGGTCCACTTGTTCGTGGCCTGCAAGAGACAATTAAAAGAAGAGAAAAAAAATGTAAATTTTAAGAAAGATTTTTGACTTTGGTCAACTTTTGCTTTCAAATTGATATAATTAAAGTTACAATTTGACCATTTTGTTGAGTAAAGAAAGGTCAAAGTAAAGTGAATGTTTGCAAAGTAAATGTTAAGGGAAAGATGAAGATGAAGATGTCATTTTGCTGTCAACAAACTTGTAAGATAGTGAAAGTTAACTGATAAATGTTCAACTGTTTTAATGCCTTTTAAAGCCGCAAATGGTTGGTAATGAGAGATGAAGACTGATAAATTAGTCAAGTTTTGGGTCAACAGGTAAGTGTCTTAATTTACCTTTGATAGTAAACAAAGGCAAAGAGAAACATTGAAACATTGAAATATGTTTAAATTGAAAATTGAATGTTTTTCAAACGTAAATTGTGTTTGAAAGTTGCCCAGTTTGCAAAGCATCAATTTGATAATCATTGTTAATTGGTACAATTTATTGTCAATGACTTTAGTTTACTTTCCGTTCAACATTAAATCATTAATGATTACAATTTTCACAATGAGTTGACAATAATTTTTTCCTATTTTTGGTTAAAACATTTTGCTTTGACAGGCAGAAAACAAAAGTCCCAACATGACATTTATTGAGATAAACAAGTGTATAAATAGAGATTGATAATCAATATTTACCTGTGTAAAATGATTCGAAGACTTGCAATTGAACTAATATCACCCATAATGTCGCCAACAGTGGCATCCACAGAATCAGTTATCTGGTCCAGTGTTAATGGTTTCCAGTTTCTCAATTGAATAAACCCTGTAAATGATAAGGAAAAAAAGTATGAAGACACACAACAAAAAACAAGAAACACAAGAGGGAAACAAAAGGTATGGAAACAGGGTTAAGAAGCAATTCAATTGTAATGGTTATAAGAGAGAAATGAAGTTATCAAGAAGAGTAAGGAAAACAAATGAAACATTATTGTTGTTATTATTTATCAAAAAAAAACTCGTAAAGTGTTGAGGCAATCAAGATGATCAAAAAAAGATGAAGATGATAATCAAGGTGATTCCTGTCTATTCATTTTGTGCGCTTGTTTCAACCAACAATTACTAGATTACCTGTTCATCTTTAGTATGTTTCATTTTAAAATATTTTCAACTCTTGAATACGCAAAGAGGAGAGAAAAAAGTTGGCATCTTCTTGGTAATGATAAAGATGACGTTAAAATTACCTTCACTAGGAGAGATTCAACAATGAGGTAACACACAAAAGGTAAAGAAAAGGGCATAAAAAAGAGAGAAGAGAAGATTTATTGATGATGATGAGTAGGATGAAATTGATGGGATCAAGATGAATCAATATATTGTCAGTTGATGTACCATAATTAACTATTACCGATGGTTATTGCTAGTTGATTATAATCACAATCTTTCCATAATAATTCGTTTTACCTTTTTTCTTTTTCTTTTTCATTTTATATTCCTAAAGCAAATAAGCCCAATAAAACCAATTAAACAAGCGCAAGTTCAGGTAACTTCATCAAGTAAACATTCAATGTGATAATAAAGAAGTTCAAGATTGAGTTAAAAAAACTTTTGCTTGTTGCTGTCAAAATAATAATAATGTTGGATGAAACACTTTTTTTTGTTCACTTTACTGATTCACTTGTCTTAGAATTGAAACTTTTTTTCAGAAAACTCTTCTCATCATCTTCATCTGCCTCTGATGGTTGACATGGAACAATCTTTTTTTTTCTGCTAATTGAATATGTTGTGAAAAGGCATTTCATATTGACCTGGGATGGATTTAAATGAAAGAGTTTGTTGGATGAAAAAGGCTTCGTTTGATGCATTCAATGATCAACATGGATATTAAGAGTTGCTATCATGAGAGTGATGATAGTAATAATGAAATTTCAATGAGAGACAAAAAGAAATGTGAAAGTGAAATGTAAGATGATGGGCATGATGAAGATGAAAAGGTAGAGTAAAAAATTAGGGTTGATATGATAGTTAATAAAAGACTGAAAGTAAAAAATATTTTAAATCAACTGTCAACTTTGATTTTCTTTAAATTTTTTTCACTTTCACTGAAATTTGTTCAGTTAATTTGAAAATGATCATTAAAACACAATTTTTCATCAAGTACAAGTAAATTGACAAAAGATTGTCCAACTTGCCTCAACTTATTACGGTTTTAATATTGATTTTAATCTGAAATTTTTCCAATTTCAAGCATTCATTCAATTAAACTGAATACATCAACGCAATGAAGTAGAGATTTCATTTTATTTCATTTTATTGCAATGTTTTAAAATTTATGTAAAAGTATTTGCTTTAGCTGCAGATTCGCACAATTTTAGAGAAAATTTTCTTATGCAAAATCAATTTATGATTGAGGTTGCTAAATGATTATTGCAATATCAAAAGTAATCAAAAACAATTTTAGATTAACTTTTGCTATTGATTTTTTTCGATGAAATTATAGCGAATTCTGTGTTTCCGTTGATGGTTATTTCTTAATTTGAATCTCGTAACTGGAATTTGTATCAAGCTCAATGGAAAATAATATAAAACTGTGAATTTCGTTCAAAATGAAAACATTAAGAATGCATCGAATTGAAAAAAGGATTCAAGGTTTGATTCAATTAGATATTCGTCTAAAAGGATAAACTTACTGAGCATTAATCAGAGTAAATTCAAAGGGAATCATAATTTGCTAAAACTAAGTTCGTTCTCTCGAATGCGTTTTTACTGTTCGACAGTTCTCTTTGCATTCATACAAAGGTTGGCCTAACAATCCACATATTTTAACGAAATCTAATTTTCTTAGAACAGTTGAAATATGTAAAGATTTTTCACTCGCAAAACTCTCGAACTCTATTTTCTCTGAAACACTGAAAATGGTCGATTTGATAATTTATGTGATGATGAATAACGTTGTTTCAAGTAAAGTTGATTTAAAAGTCGAACTGCAAATTAGACACTTTAAACAGTCTAATAGATTAAGATTTAGATTTTTTGCCTTTTTTCTTTCTTCTTTTCTGTTCATCTTCTCCAGCTTTTTGCAACTTTTCCAAGAAGATGATGATAAAGAAGATGAAACAAGAGAAATGAAGCTTTAGTAAGACAATAGGTTAAAACGGAGGTAAACAATTGACATTAACTAGACGAGACCATTAACATTTTGTAGTTTCAATCTTTCGTCTTTACTGAAACATTCACCACCATTCCATTGAGATCCTTTGAGCTCAATCACCACCAACACTATCACAAGAACTGTTTACCTGTTTAGTTTTTTATCTACTATTCAATCGAAAGCAACATCATAAACTAGTGCATATTGATTTAAAAATTGCATAAAGTAGCTTATGAAGAAAATGAAAAGGGATTTAAGTTCTGTAACCGTATTGCTTTGGTATCTCCAGAATGTAGAGATTTTTTCACATTTTTTACTCTTTTTTTATAAGATTTACCTTTCATCTTTTACTCCATCTTCATCATCCATCTATATCCTCATCTCTTATCTTCATCTTCCTTCCTGCCTCTTTTTTTGCAGTTTTTAAAGAAGAAATTTTTCTTCTTTTCACTTTTCACCGTTTCAAAGGCAATAAATGTTTTCTGATCCTCAACACATTACTATTATTGCAAGAAACATAAATAAGAAGATGAGGATTGACGGATGAGAATGAAAATATCTTCCAAAATCTGACCCCAAAGTGGAAAAGAAGAAGAACCACCATAGAGGGTGGATGATTATCTTCATGATTATGTGGAAAATTCAAACCTGAAATAGTTATTTTTGTTTTTTCACTTTTCCATCTTTGAATATCATTGGTTAAAAATGAATATGCTAAGTTACTGATGAGGATAACACTGATCCTTGATAATCGGAAATGCAGATCAGAAGGTTGAGAAGAAAAAAATTAGACAAAAAAAGATGCAAAAAACATAAAATAAAATGATAATTTGCAAAATTGGAAAAGTTAAGTTCACAGTTTGAATGTCTTCATCTTTTTTTTCATTTCCTTTGCAAGGTGAGGCCAAGGAAATTTAAATCATCATCATAATCGTAATCATGATAACATTATTGGCATCATCTTCATGGTAAAATGCTATTCTTTTGAACACTTGAGGTCGGTCAATGGTTTTTTATTGGAACCGAATAGGTTCAAGCCCATCCGGTCTTTCAAATTGACCTGAAAATGTAAACTTTTTGTACCTGAAACAAAATGTTTTGTTTTCTTACGTGAATAAAAAAAGAAGGTAAAAATTGAGTGAAAATACAGCAAAAGTAAAAAAGTTATAACAAGAGGAAGATGAGAAACACCAGAGGAGGGAGATGATATTGATGGAAAGATGAGGATAAAGATGAAATGATGGTGAAGAGAGGAAAGTAAAAGCAAGAAATATATTGATAGAAATGAGAAAAGGCCTTACGGCGTTTTGTTTCTTCTCATCTTCCAGAAACTAGAAGCGAATTGAATGATTGGGAGAAGATGAGAAGATGAACAAGTAACGGGAAGATACAAATAATAGCAATAATAATGGTAATGATAATAATAACAATTATAAATATAATATAAATGCAAAATAAGAAGAAATAATAATCAATAAAAATAATAATTTCATCTTTTTCGTTTGCTTCCTCTGTGGCTGTCTTTTAACTTGAGTCTATTTTGTCTCTGTTTCATTCAATCACCATATTGAACCCAACAGGTAGTCGATGGATAGTTTAATTGAGATGTTACTTTGATTGATTATATTGAATGGTAAACAATGATGATGAGGAGTGATCAAGGTGATGATGATGAGATGTTGAGATTGAAAAGGAAAAAATAATTTTCTCAATATTTGTTCATTTGTTCAAGAATTGCATTAAATAATCTAATGAGAAATTAATCGCTATCTTTGTTTCTGGTTCAATTTTTTCCTTATCACTTGGATTTTTTGCAATTTAAATGTGAAATATTGATTGTTGATTGAGGATAATAAAGATTGTTAAGAAGAGGAAACAATAGGAAGACAAACTCCCACTGAGTTTGGTTCATTTCATCAACCCTTGTCTTAATAATATGGCTTCAATTGATGCTGATTGTTGATTATTATTAAACTGGTCATCATTATCATTATCGTATTATTGGCCTAACAAGACTCGAAATGTTTCAATTTGATTCCATATCAATGAGATTTCATCAACAATCAAACCTAGGATTAAATCAATCAAAAGCTAAGATGAACATTGAGAGTTATTTAAATTGCTAAATGGACAGGAATTAACTTTGAATGAGTTGGAATTGAAAATTTGAAGATTAAAAAATTAGAAGCAAAAGCTTTCTCAACATTTTGAGAAACATCAATCAATGATTTTCAAGAATCTAATTGATGTTGATTTGCATTGATTCTAATTGTTAAAATAACGAGTTGATCAATTTGAGACAAATGTTTGATTCTGTTTTACTCATGATATTGATGTTTCAACTTTAACTAGGTGAAGATTGTGAGGATTGAGGGTAAATTTGGATGATAATGATGATGAAGATGGAGTGAAAATAATACAATCAGCTTTTCATCATCATGTTAAATATTCATTGGACATTTCAGTGTAAAATAAAAGAGAAGCAAAAAGTTGACTCAATGATAAATGCGCTTTGTCACCCTAATGTTACTTTTTGTCCCCGATTTGCTTTTGTCACCTCTTTTATAAAAATATTAGGATATTGCTGAATCTATCATTGTATTAATCATCATCACCATGATCGTTATCGTCAGCAACTGGTAACAAACACAAGAATATGAAAGTTGATCAATTGATGGACGATGGTTAACAGTGATTCACAATAAAAAACAACAAATAATGAAAATAATAATCAGGAAAAGTGAATCTCTATCCAAGTCCAGCCTTTGACTTTTGGCGAAACTTGAAACTTGTTAGTCAATTATTGTGATCATGTTCAATAGGGATTGAGGGATAATGTTAATAATGATGATTATGATGATTACGATGATGACCATAATCGTCATTACAAAATGTACAAGGAGGAAAAAAAGAATCGTCAACCTTGATAAGTGCTGTAAAAGAGTACGAAGTTATTGGTAAGCAAAAAGCTCAACATGAGCTTACCATGAGATTACATAGAGATTTAAAGGTAAAATTGAAAGGTTGAAAGATTTTAATGAAATGGGAATAAATTCAATTCAATTGTTAACATTATGAATTACAATGTAAATCAATTACTATTTGATTTGATGATGATAAATTAGACATGATTGGCTTTTTGCGCTTCTTTTTTCTTCTCTCTCTACTTTGAATCTTTAGGTAACTGAAAGAGTTGAAAAATTGTTGACAGGTGAGGTAAACTCAAGATTCAAGATGATAATGCTAATTCACAGAGCGAATATGATTAACTGGAAAAGTTGGTTAAAAGGGGAAAAGATGAAGCTTTACTCAATCTGGTATTTGAAGTTTTTTCAGACAAATTTTGACAGAAATTTTGAGATTTTTTCTCGTCTTGTTTCTAATCCTTTCTCGGTCTTTTGTTTATTGAAAAATTTAAATACATTTTAATGTATTATATCCATTGACTCAACATGGGAAAGTATGAATTTTTGGGTTGCTAGTTGATGGTAAAATGTTTACTATTGGAGGCGATTCAGGTGTCATCAGAAATCATAGGTAAGTAGTTAAATAATAATGTTAAGAGTCTATGGGAAGAGAGTGGCAAAAAAGGAGAAACTAAGACAAGTAAACATATGAGATTTAAGAGACAGAGGTAGACAGAGGAAGATAGAGAGTGAGGGGAAAATGTAGACAGGGATGAATAAGTAGATAGATGTAAAGAGAAGGGAAAAGAAAGAATCGAACAATTGATTGGTTTGAAGGCCTTTTACACCTTTCATCTGTCATATTGTTGCAAGAAGCTTGAAAAAAAAATATGAAAGATAAAACAGTCAACAGTGTAACTCAATGTGAACCAGAATTTTTAAGTAAATCTTTTATAAGGTACAATTGGGTTATTATTTATATTGTTGTCTTGTTTTTTTATCACAGTTAAATGCATAGTAAATCTGTGTTTTACATTTGGATTGTCTTTAAAATCGTAAATTTTGTTTCATTTTTCAACTTGATTTTAAACTTCATTTCTCTCTGCATTGTGCATGTTAAGGGAAAATAATTAAGGTAAAGTCTCATTTTGACCGCAAATTTGAAGCTTTGAGAAAAAACACATAAAATTTTAACCGTAAAAAAGCCAACTTTGAAATATTAGGGTTTTGGGTTAGACTGGGTTGGACTAGACTAGTGCTTTTGAACCAGTTATCTTGGTTTGATGTAAATAAAAGCTATGAGTTTGGGGCTTCAATATTTACTGGTAAAATTGAGATTGAATTGGACATTTTAACTCACCTTTGGCCCCGGAAATTTCCGACTCTGGATATCCTAGGTGAAGAAGAGCGGTTTTCACTAGATTCGAGAATAATAGTCCGGAAGTTATTATTGCAAATGAATCTTGTTCAACAACACCTGATGGAGATATTGAAGCTGGAAAAGTTGGTGAAGATGTCGAGGAATGATTACCAGAATCTCCTGATTGTTGATTTGAATTGATTGAAGAGGAATGGTCAAGGTGTGAGGTTAAAAGATGGTGAGTGTGATGATTATGATTATGGTGTTGAAGGTGAGACAAATTGTGATTAAGATGGTTGGCTTGGAAAGGATAATGGTTTAGTCCAAAAAGACTGCGAAGGGCTGATGACGGTGATAATTGTTGAGACAATGATACATTAATTGCTTGACAATGGCCACCTCCGTTGTTGGTATTATTACAACCAACAGACGAGTTATTACTATTGTTATTGTTATTGGTACTTAAATCAAGCGAGGGTGAACTGTTTGTTAAATGCCGTTGATTGCTATTACAATTGGATTCGTTATTTTTACCATTGATTAATTTGTCTCCTAATGAAAGGTTAACACTAGTATCACCATTTGTTGAAACATTATCGGTAATATTGACACTACTTCCACTGTTTTGGTTAGTACTAATAGTTTCAATATTTTTATTATCATTTGGATTGGCAGGATTAACGTCTAAATCATCATCTTCATCGATATTATTACAATTATTAACAGCATTACCGGGACTGGTTACAGTGGTATTAGTAGTGGTAGTGGAACAAACTGCTTTTGTATCAATACTTTCACTCCCTAGTAGACTGAAGCCTCCTTCACCTGAGCTTTTATCACCAATAGATGTTTGGTTAGACAGTAAGGTTGGTGAGGTTGTTGTCGATGGTGGAATTAAATTATCTGTCGATATTTGAAGCTTTGAACATGTTGATATTTTACTTGACAACGGGGAGGTTGATTGTAATACCGATGGTAGAGTTTGTGGTGAATCGGTTAAAGATGACTCTGGAAGGTTGGTTGAGGGATTTAACGCAGAGGAACCATTTGCTTCCAATGTATGGGTTTCATTTGGTTGATTTGTTTGGGTTGGTGTTTCGCTTGTTACAGTTAATTGGGATCCTGATGTTGCATTTGGCGATGTTGCTGGAACCAATGTTGTTACTGTTGGTTGTGTTGTTGTTGTTGTGGTTGAAGTTGTTGTTGATAAAGATAACGATGGGACTGTTGTTGTTGGTGAGGATATATTTGGTGTTACATTGGATGTTGGTGATGATGGTGGGGTTGCATTACCATTTGAACTAACCCTTTCAACAATACACCTAATTGGAATGCTTGTGCGTCCTGTAAAACAGGCACAGTCTAGGTAATCCATTGGCGCGTGCAGCATAAACAACCATCAGAGTTTCAATAAAAATAATAAACATCACTAACAATTCAGTGTGTTCATTTTTCAAGTCAAGTCTCAGACAGAAGATGAGAAGCTGTATCACGTGACCCAAAGCAACCAGAACTTCGCCAACTACAGTTGTTCCATCTAGAGGTTATCTTAATAACTGTTAAGGTTTTTTTGGTTAAACCAATTAATTGTCTCCATAAACCAATCACCGGATTTTTCTTTAAATTAATTGTTCAACAGTTATTTAGTGTCACACCATTAATCAAATTCAACCAACATTAACAATCTGTTAACGTTTAATTAAGCCACAGTGAATCGACAATACAATGGATTTAACTCTTGTTGTTCATACACACAACTTGTATTGCAACTCTTAACTGCTGTACATAAATCCTCACCTTTATTGATCATCTGTTTGGATTATTTATTTCTTTAATCAAGGATTCGTAATTTTACCCAATTTTGTGTATCACATCAAATCTTAACCAATTAACTGAAAGGTCTGAGATAGTCGATTGTTTTACAGCTTGTGATAACTCAGACTGTGTGAGAAAAAAAAATTTGCCAAAACATTCTGTAACAAATTGGTTTTGATTGTTTCTAAAAGGTAGGCCAATGAATGTATCTAATTACAATTTGACTCTTAATCAGGTTATCATTTTCAACTTGATATGCAAGTGATTAGCCAATATTTTTTTTATACAACATACAATTAGTAAATTGATTTTAATAGTAACTCTTTAATCTGTGTGAAAAAAAGAAATTATAACCAGTCCGTTAGATTGTGTATCATACTATTAAGTCTATTAAGTATTATTGTTAAATTAATATCATGCAGCTGTGAATCAGCATTTAACCAATTAATCATGGGATGATGTCTCTTCCTCTTGTTGATTAAATCAAACAATCAGGAGACTTTCAGAGTTATTACAAGTTACAATTTCAATTGAAGTCAACCCAATGATTATAATAATAAGCACTAGAAGAAAGCTCGAGTAAACTAAATATATTTCGTTTCTGATAATGATTCAACAATTCTAACAACGTTGTCCTAATCCAAATTTATTTCCAATTTTGTCACTCAACTGATTAGAGTAAGAATGGAACAGTTGTCACAAATTAATCAGGTAAATAACCCATTAGAGAAGGAGTCAAGGAGCGACATCAACCTTATAAAAACAATCCAATTAAACCATTGCTATTTAAACTAAACACTGTGTTGAATAGTAATTAACTGCAAAGCTTTTTCAGCATTACATTGAATAATTTGAAAGGCAAATAAAATTACAAATTGTTATATTTTAAACAGTAGTTTATACTAGAATTGTCATGCAGCTTTGTCATTAGACATATTAATAAAAACATATTACAACAGCAATGTCAAAACAAGCCAATTTGGTATATTAATACAGAGTTAAAGATCAACATGATTACTGGGAATTGAATCCGAGTGATGATTAGATCAAATATAATACGTCCCATCCATGCAAAATAAATTGTATTTAAATTACAATACGATAGTTTCATCTTCACTAGGAATGATCACTTTGAACAGCTTCTCGGGCCAAACAATATTCCACATCAGCTTCGTATAAAGCTTTATCAATTACAGTTTTGTTCAGTTTATTTTCACGACGAAATTTATTCTTTAAATCAGTTCGACTTCGTTTACCATTGAAAAAAAGGTTTGACATTAATGAAAAATCTGGTCCGATAAGATTAAGAGCAGTATAAAATTCAATTGTTTCCGTTTTAGTCCATCGTACAGTTGGAGGACGTTTACGGAATGACGAATAAGTTGTTTTACCATATGCAGGTTCTTCAATAGTCTCTCTTTCTACAGGCTTAGGTTTCTTGATAACCAAAGATTCTTCATCGATTATTAATTCACCATCTGGACCAACTTTAACTCGAGGACCAATTGATTCTTTTTCTTGTGTTTTATCAACATCGTTAGCTTCATTATTTGTTATTATAGTTGATGCTGATGATACTGTTGTAATTACACTATCCATTGTATCATCATTTATTGATTTATTATCAGTTGTTTCTTGTTTACCTGAATCTCCAGATTCTGACCTTTTCTCTACATTCTCATCAGAAGTTTCATCCAATTTTTTATCCTTATCCTTGTCCTTATCCTTATCCTTATCTTTATCCTTATTTTTACCAATACGTTTACCACGAGATATTGGAGCGTGAATAAGATGATAGAGAGTTAGAGAATTACGATCAAGTAGATCCTTTGGTGATATTTTAATCCTTTTTCTTGGTCTAACTGTGTCAGTTTGAAGTTTATCTCTGATAATTGGACTCGGAATAGTTGGTGACTCTTTGGGTAATTCTTTTGGTGGTTCTTTTGGTAGTTCTTTTGTTACTGGTTTATCTGAAGGTTGAGGTGGATCATCAACAGGTTCAATCAAGGTTGTTAATTTTGGTACAGTTTGTGTCTTTTTGGATACTGCATCGACTTTAGCCTTTTCTGTTGGTGTATCAGATGAAATTTCATTGTTTTCCTCAACAATTGAAGTTTTCTCGATTATTGTGTTATTATTGACTTCAGGTTGACTTTCAACCAACTCTGTTATTAATGAAGATGATGTCAAATCGACCACAGGAGCAGCAGCATTTTCCTTTGGCAGTTTAGGTGTCGCTATAATACTTGTTGGTTCCAATGATTCTACTGTAGATGATTTGTTTTCTGCTTTATCCAGTTGATTGGTTTGATCACTGTTATTAGAAATGTTTGTTTCATTGAGATTTGAAGATGTCTGAACAGGAGTCAAGGACTCGACGTGTGTACGATCTCCACTTTGTTTAGCTTGAGGTATCTTTGGTGTAATCTTTATCTTAGATCTTCGAAACATTGTTGATTGCAAAAATAATATCAATCACCGTTGTCAATAATTAGATCAGGTTGAAATAGATTATTTATAAAACACAATTATTTACATCAAAATATTCAATGTTATCAATCAAAACAAATTGACAAAAGCAACAAAAATTGCTGGCGCCATCTATTAAGATGATAAAAATAACCAGCTTCGATTGTCGATGCAATCGAAATTGAAGATGGCTACAAATGGCATAATTAATTAATCGTCTCTCGCTCTGACTGATATTACCGAATCAACAATAGAATGCAATTTTCATCAATTTGCAGAGAAGGCATAATGCAAAATTAGTTTGTGACATATGCTCACTGAAGGGTGAACAATACATTGGATACCAGTTTAGCCAGAAAGTTTATCATTGGAGTGCTAAACAAATTGGAACTTACAATTCCATTATCGTTATTTTCCCTGCTTTAGGTGCACTTATTGGTCCTCCATTATTCATTCACAAAATGATTGTCCATAATTGCTTTAGTTTCAATAATGTTGAGTTTCCTCGTCAAAGGTTTTATCCTTAATCCGATAGTTTACTTCTTCGGCATATTTGGCTGTTTCGCTAGTGTCATATTTGTTGCCGATCGATCAATCATTTCACGAATGATTCACAAAGACGAGATTGGGCAAAATTCTATTGAATCATAAATTTAATTACTTTATTAATACTACAATAATCTCATTGAGATTACCTGGAAAAGCTGAGCATACAGCATTCCATATAAAATGAATCTAGTTCATTTGAATCAGGTTTAATTAATCGCCTAGTATCGAGCAGAATAGATTTGTTTATTATTGAAAAACTTTTAGAGCGTCTATTAATTAATATATTCACAGTAAATTTTTTCTAGTCATCAATCGAAATGTCTTTGATCTCATTACTTTCCAACAATTTCATTTCATCTCAACTTATTTATAACATAGCAACTGGACTCATCGCATTTTGGTGTGTTACTTATTTGATACCAACAATCAAACGTTTATTCACCTTACCACCTGGACCATGGGATTTGCCTTTTGTAGGCTACTTGCCTTTTTTGCAGAAAAACAATGAATATAAAGTTCTTGACCGATTAGCAAAAAAATATGGACCAGTTTATAGTTTGGGTTTGGGTAAAGATACTGTTATTGTTGTTAATGATTGCGATCATGCTAAAGAAGTGCTTAAAAATGATGATTTACTTTATCGACCAGAAAGTTTTGCGAAAAATAATTATGTGGTATCCATAATTGAAATGTCTGGTTCACCATGGCGGGTTCATAGACAAAACACTGTACACCTTCTTCGTGATCTTGGTCTTGGTAAATCATCTTTCGATGATAAAATTATTGAAGAGATTCAACAATTCTTGCCTAAACTGGAGAAAGGTCCCGTTGAAAATGTGTCCAATACCTTTCTATCGACGATTACAAACAATATATCTTTCTTGTTGCTTGGTCATGGATTTGAGGATGATGATCCTGTGAAACAGACCCTTGTTGATGGTTTTATGATTGGTTCAAAAATTGGATCTCAGTTTAGTTTTTTTTCATCAGGATTGCCGCCAAAGATTAACAGACTGCTGATGAAGCCGACTGACTTGAAAATTGAACCAGCTAATTATGAAGTAATAAAAGCTATTCCCAAGTACATGCAAAATGAGATTGATCAACATAAGAAGAAGCAAACAAAAGAGTTTGATGATTATATTGATGGTTATTTTGAGGAGCAAAAGAAGCGAAAAAATAGTGATTTGGACAACAGTGTGCCTTTCGATGAAGCGACCTTACTAGCAAATTTGGTTGATTTTTAGCAAGCCGGAAGCGAAACAGTCTCAACGACACTTACATGGGCTATTCTTTATCTGTTCAAGTATCCTGAATATTATGAGAAAATACGAGCTGATGTAAAGATGTAATTGGCTTTGAAAGATTACCAGACTATGCAGATAGAAACCAGATGCCAATGACAATGTCTTTCATCTATGAAGTCCATCGAGCTGCTTCGATTGTCGCAGTGAATATATTTCGCGCTGCTACTTGTGACTTAAAAATCGGAAATTTCAGTGTACCTAAAGGTGCCGCTTTCATAGTCAACTTTTGGACCATTAATCGTGACCCTTCTTTGTACATAAAACCAGATGAATTTGATCCCAGTCGATTCTTAACCGATAATGGAACCAAAGCAGTTAAGCCCTCATTCTTGAATCCATTCAGTAAAGGCAAAAGAGGTTGTCCTGGAGAGGGTTTTGCCAATATTGAAATATTTTTATATCTTGTTAGTATTGTTCAAAGATACAAGATTGAATGTGAACCTGGATCAAAATTATCGTTTGAAGCTCATTATTCAACAACTAGAAAACCAAAATCGATTCCACCGTTAATATTCACAAAAATATCAGAAAAAAAAACTAAGTTTTATATTTGATTAACTGTTCAATGTACGAAAGACTGTTAATGGATGAGAATGAGAATCATTTGATTCTTATTTAGCGCGATCTATCATTATCAATGATAAAAAGTAGAAAATTTTGTAATGGCATGAATATTTTTATTAAATAAATCGATTCATCCAATGATTTAACTTTTGATGGTAAGGAAAACACTCATGTGCTGCTCATATTATTAGATTAGATTATTGCAATGATAAAACGAGGAGTATAAGTACTCTTTGTACTGGTGTAATTGTATCTCTTTGCTGTAAACATTTGCCTTTCTTAATGACGTCCTCTCTACCTTTGGTTATATTCAAGCGATTACTTCTGTGAATGGCATAAAAATCATTAGGAAACATTGGGAAATCTTGTTTTTCTCGATTAGGAAAGTTGAAGCTCACTTGCAAAGATAAATTCCACTTGAATGTTTGTTGCTTTTTTACTAAAGATGAAACCCATTAATAGTCTTTTGTTTACTATTTTAGTGTTCACTTTCAACTTTACCTTTCTTCAAGGAAACGCTTCGAGTGAGGATCCTACTTTAACAATATCAACTGGTCAGATCAAAGGTAAATCCGTGTCATTCCGAGGATCCCAAGTATACCAATTTCTTGGTATACCTTTTGCTGAGCCACCTCTAAATGAATTAAGATTCACGAAACCTGTACCCAAAAAACCTTGGGACAATGTAATACCTGTTAATAAATGGGGACCACATTGTATCCAACCAGAATTTCCCGGATTCAATGAAGGTTATCCTTCTGACGAAGATTGTCTGGTTCTCAATGTATTTGTTACTCAATCGACTCTTGATGGCGTTAAAAGTGGCATTAAAAAACCTCGACCTGTAATGGTCTGGATTCACGGAGGTGGATTCTCCTTTGGTTCAGCTAATGTTGATTTTTACGATGGAACACCGTTAACTGTTATGAATGACATTGTCTTTGTTTCCATCAATTATCGTCTTGGAGCTTTTGGTTTCTTACATTTGCCCGAATCAGGTATACCGGGTAACTTTGGTCTTTGGGATCAATTGTTGGCTTTGAAATGGGTTAAGGATAACATTCACTTTTTTGGTGGCAATCCTGATCAGGTGACAATATTTGGTGAAAGCGCTGGTTCCATGTCTGTATCTGCTCTCATTGTTTCACCTCATTCTCGTGGTCTATTCAAGAATGCCATCATGCAAAGTGGTTCAATTTATGATATGCATCTTTGGTCTAATTCAAAAACCTCTGAAGTTTTGCTTGAAAAGCTTAACTGTAGCTCAGTCGATGACATTGTTTCCTGTCTGCGATCAGTCAAAGCAACCGATTTCAATATACTTGCTGGGTTCCTGTATTGGCCAATAATTGGAGATGAATTTTTACCAAGTCAACCCCAAGAATTGATGAAATCTATCGATAAAAATGTTAACATCCTTTTAGGAGTCGTTGGTAATGAAGGCGCTGGAATGTTAACAACTCTTGATAACAAAATTTTCCACCCTGTTGATCCTGTCGACTTGTCTGTTGATCAAGCTCGAAAATTTTTAAAACAAGTGTTTGGGGAAAAACACGAAGAATATTTCACTAAAATTTATCTCGACCATGTTGATCCAGAAAATTCCAACGAACTGCGATTAGCCCTTGCCCAAGCAATCGGTGATGTTTCGTTAGGTTGCCCAACCTACATATTTGGCATTGATGCAGTCAAAATTGGCCAAGCAAATGTATACGCCTATGTCCAAACTCAAAAACCATCGAAATCATTTTTTGCGTTCATCTCTAATACTACTTGGATACCTGCTACTCATGGTGAAGATGTACCGATGATGTTTGGAGCTCCGTTTCTCGATCCACTTGGTTACACTCAAGAGGATATTTTGCTATCCACAGTAATGCTAAATACCTGGGGAAATTTCGCGAAATTTGGGTAATTAATGATTCGCACTTCAAATCGACATGAAGTTTGAAAATAGCTAATCTTACTTTTTTTACATATCAATTTAACTTTAGTGAGCCTCGATTTTTTGGAGAATCAGATATATGGAGCAAATGGAAATCTGATGAATCTGGTAAATTTGAAAAGTTCGTTATGGAATTTAATACTCAAAGATTTGGTTTAACCAACAATCAAGCAGTTGAAAATTGTGAGAAAAATTGGCCTTTTCCGATCGATTCAGTAAACTTGAATTTCAGTCTTGGTGAGTTATTTTAATGTTGTAACCAACTCAATGAAAGACAAAGAACTAATCATTTTTTCCCTTTTTTCGTCCAATTTAGATGAACTGGAAAATCTTTCTCGTGATGAACTTTAAATTTAGAGTTTCTATCAGAATTCAATGAATTTTTTGAACTGGATTATTTTTTCAACATAAACTCGTGGAACGTTCCCTTTTCCGAATCAATAAAACGAGATTTGCAAAGCTTAATTTGGTTATTTTATTAAAAATTCATTAATTTATCAATCATTCACCATCTGGACCAACTTTAACTCGAGGACCAATTGATTCTTTTTCTTGTGTTTTACCAATATCGTTAGAGTCATTATTTGTTATTATAGTTGATGCTGATGATACTGTTGTAATTAAACTATCCATTTTATCATCATTTATTGATTTATTATCAGTTGTTTCTTGTTTACCTGAATCTCCAGATTCTGACCTTTTCTCTACATTCTCATCAGAAGTTTCATCCAATTTTTTATCCTTATCCTTTTCCTTATCCTTATCTTTATCTTTATCCTTATTTTTACCAATACGTTTACCACGAGATATTGGAGCGTGTATAAGATGATAGAGAGTTAATGAATTACGATCAAGTAAATCTTTTGGTGATATTTTAATCCTTTTTCTTGGTCTAACTGTGTCAGTTTGAAGTTTATCTCTGATAATTGGACTCGGAATAGTTGGTGACTCTTTGGGCAATTCTTTTGGTGGTTCTTTTGGTAGTTCTTTTGTTACTGGTTTATCTGAAGGTTGAGGTGGATCATCAACAGGTTCAATCAAGGTTGTTAATTTTGGTACAGTTTGTGTCTTTTTGGATACTTCATCGACTTTAGCTTTTTCTGTTGGTAAATCAGTTGAACTTTTATTGGTTTCATCAACAATTGAAGTTTTCTCGATTATTGTGTTATTATTGACTCCAAGTTGACTTAAGTAGTAAAGTAAAGTAGCTGAAGTAAAATTTTGAAGACTCGTTTTGAGTAAAATTATTTACTTGCATTTATTAATAATCATTGGTTCAATTGCAAGTGACAATAACAAGTGGAGTTCAAGCATCGTGTACACCTAGGTGTATAAAAATCCCATGAAACTTTCCTTGGAGGGTTGACAGGATTAGAATCTTTGAATTTGTATCGTTGGTGCTCACATATTTCACACACGTCGATCGCGGGATGGTTTTTAAAAGAACAATGAGGGCAAGACCAGCTTTGAGTATCGCTCGTTTCTGGAATAACTCCAGAAGCTCGACTAGATGTTGGTGTATTTACAGGTGTCACTGTTAAAAAAGAGAAAGATCAATAATTAGTAATAAGCACAAACTGCACAGATCAATGCGATCCATATCACCATTTGATCCTTACCATCCGCATCTTCTGCTATATGAGATTGCTCGGCTCCTGATGAATTGGAGGTAATATGACTAGAACTACCTGACGATTCGCCCATTGCCAACGTGCTTTCCACAGGCTGATCAGGCATATAGTCAATTAGACCAGGAGGAATGAGACCATTGTAAACATTTGTCTGATAAGAAAGGCAATAGTATTCTGCTTTCAGTTGATTGACTAGATCAATCAAACCTTTTACTTCTTTGTGATTGTCTTCACTACAATCAGACAAACTAAGATCTTTTAGTTCCATTTGACGATCTTCCGAGCGAAGCTCTGCCAAACGAGCTTCCAGTTTTCTTGATTTTTTCACTAAAAATGAAAGACGTTGTTGTTGCACATCAAGAAGAGACGAGTCTTGATCCTCTGAGAGATCCATTTTTGACTTGATTTTAGCACTAATTTGAAAAACTAAGACAATAATCAAATGGTAAAATTAAAACAATACAAAAACAATACAAAAACGAAACGAGTATGTTTATCTTTCAATATTGTTTATGAATTGTCAGCTGGATAAAAGGCGGTTTCTTCAAAACTGAACATATTAGTTTAAACTCATGTAAAAATATTCAGACAGTTTTAGAGTTAGCCTAAACAAGACAAGTTTCAATGAAGTTGGGAAAAACTGAATTTTATGAATCCAAAATAGGTTATGACCAACAAAATCATTTCGAGTTTAATTCTAGAACTGACTTGCAGCGAAATATTAATATTTGCAGTCTAACAGAAACAAATCTCAGGTATCACCTAAAGTTATTATTCTTTCACTAAACATTAGATTTCATTTTGATTCATAAGATATGCAAACATTAAACCATCCGCAATCCTACAAAAAAAGTTATATCATTGTTTTATTAATGTTGTCAGATTTGAGACATTATTTATAAAGTTAAATGGGTACAGAAACACAATATTCGTTATCAAGTTTCTTAATTCATATGGTATTATAGCCCTTGATAAAATCTAATGTTTAGTCGAAGAATAATGATTTTAAGTGATACCATTCTCGAATAATTGGTGACCAAAGTTTTGCGGTCAAAGACCAAAATCAAGAGAACTATTAAAAAATTTGATAAAGAAAATTTGAAAAAGTATTCGCTTGATGATGTATAAGCTCAATTTTCATGGATGAATACCAAGTTTCATCCCTCTAACTCTAACGGTCACAGAAAAATGTCGGTTTAATCAGCATTCGAACTTGATCTATTTAACAGAAAAAGGAAAATGCATTTCTCAAATATTCGTTTTCTGGTAGCCCATGAAAAGTTACATCAAAGAAATGAGTTTTGTGGGAAAATCTGCTTCCTTAGGGTAACAAAAGGCAATCTAAGTTTCAAGTTCGCACTCGATCTCCTCGAAAACCGTCACTCAGAGAGATCTCTCAATTGCACAAATGCACTTAGTTTTTGTGTCCCTACAAACCTCGAATTATTGACGGTCAAAGTTATAAGACGAAAGGCCAAAATCAAGAGCTCTATTAAAAATTGAAATAAGTATTTGCACCATAATTTTTGCAAGCAATTTTCATGAACGAATACCAAGTTTCATCTCTCTAACTCTTACGGTCACAGAAATCTGTCGGTTTATTTAAAATTCGAACTTGATCTGTTTTACAGAAAAATAAAAATGCATTACTCAAAATAAGTTTGTTCTCTGGTTCACTATAAAAAGTAACATCAGTGAAATTAGTTTCATGGAAAAATCGTCTTCCATTTCTGAACAAAAGCCAATCCAATTTTCAACTTTGACCTCGATTATCTCAAAAACTGTCCATTCGATTAATTGTTTACTAGTATCAATGGAATCAGATTTCATGTTCCTACAAACCTCTCAAGTATCAACTCTTTACTTAAATTTTTGAGTCTTTGGCAGTACTTTTAGCATTGCAACTGCATGTTTAACCTGAAAATTGGTTTATTCATCAAGAAATGGGTTTAGATGAGTTTTGTTTGTTAAATATGTTGCTGCTTGAACATTTAAAGCCCGAAAATCAAGAACCAAATGCGCTAATTGAGAGTTATTAAATTGCATTGAATTATTAACTAGTAAAGAACTAAATTAGTGAAAGAATAATGACTTTAGGTGATGTCATTCTCGAATTATTGATGGTCAAAGTTTGAAGACGAAAGGCCAAAATCAAGAGAACTATTAAAAAATTGAAAAAATAATTCGCTTGATGATGTATGATAACAATTTTCATGGACGAATACCAAGTTTTATCTCACTAACTCTCACGGTCACAGAAATCTGTCGGTTTATTTAAAATTCGAACTTGATCTTTTTTACAGAAAAATAAAAATGCATTCCTCAAAACAATATCATTTTCTGGTTGATTGTAAAAAGTTACATCAGTGATAGAAGTTTCATGGAAAAATCTCCTTCCTTAGCTGGACAAAAGGCAATCTTAGTTTCAAGTTCGAACTTGATTTTCTGGAAAACTGTCGACCAGAGAAATCCTTGAATCGTATAAATGAATTTAGTTTTTATGTCTTTACACACCAACCGAATCTTAATTTGAAAGAAATTAATTTCTATCCATTTTTTGTCCATTTGTTTCAACTTGTTGCATGTAAGGTGAAAATTGTGTCTTTTAATAAAAACAATATTTGTGTTTAGTTATTGCACTCTATCAATCAGATTCTTTACAAATGGTCATCCTAATCGATGCTGTGAATATAGCAATGCAGCCTTGAAAGATCAAAATCAGTTTTAGGAATGTTTAAAAACTTTTATTAAATTGTAATTTGCAAAATAAAAAGTATACATAATTAAGATTTAAATTGTAAGTTAAACAGTTTACAGCATTTGTTTATTCATCAGACAATTTAGTTGTAATTTCTAAAATAGTTCCCAGCAAGGATTCGTCTTTATTGAATATTGAAACGTTATTCAATTTACCCAAATACTCAAAAACTTCTGGAGCAACTTCTTGACATTGTTTCAATGTTGACCAACGGCCACAAAGAAGGTCTGTAAAATCTTTGATTAGTTTGTCAATCTGCGTCATGAAGTAACTTGTCAGGTTAAACTTTTCATCTGGACAGACTGGGACAGGAGCTGCTAAAATACACTCTTTGAGTGAATGGAATGAGCAACAAATTAGAGGAAACAATTGTTCCGAAGTCATGTTAAATGAGGAAAGATAAATTTGATTGACCAAAATTAACCCGCAATCCTGGACAGTCTTGTGATAAGACGATGTTGCACATTCAAATGCTTTGACCAATTCTGTAAAAAAGTCCAAACATAATACAAAAATTAGGTTAACAAGCTGGTTTCTGGTTAACCCAGTCTGGTTCTCTAGATTTACTCACTTTGACGAGGTTTTCCTGCTTTACACATGGACTTCATTGTTTTGCTCAAGCTTTTACCAATAATTTGAACAACTTGACGAGGAAAAGGCTTTGAACATTCATTGAAGTTCTTCACTTCATTGGCAAATAATTTTCCATTCCTGTTCATGAATTTATCGAAATTAACATGAAAAATTGTTAACTGAAATACTAAACTAGAAACACCAGAAATAGTCGACTCTTTTTGATCCAACTTACCTACAATAGTCTTCTATTTCTTGATCATTCGAGGGAAATTTAACTCCTTGCTTGATAAACAAAGCTTCTTTGTAATATTTATCCATTTTTTCCACTGATGCATCACAATTAGTGCTGTTACCCAAAACATTTGAAACTAGAAACCAGAAAATAACCAAGAAAAAAGTCAGTTATGTCTTTACAATGAGATGAACACAGGGACTTACTTGTTAATAATATAACTAAAGAAAACAAAGGTAAACATTGAATAAGGGAAGTCATTTTTAGATGTTTAAAACTGAAACTTGGATACAAAATAATCAGCTATGATTGAGGTTTGATTTCAACTTTATCCTGGTAACTAACTGGTCCAACTCTAGACTGTGAATGGAAGACAGTAAAAGTTGAGAAGACGTTTAATATCGGGTAAAAAGTGCGAAATGAAACTAAAAAGCTTTCTATTGATGACCAGAATGATGGACAGCTTTGAGATAAAAGAAGTTAAATTTACTTTTAATTATAACCCAAGGCGATATAACATTAATTTCCATAGCCCTGTGTGCTTCATCAATTACAAAAGATCTTAAAATGTTAACAACTCTTTTACATCAATTTGATTTCTTTACAAAATCAAATGATCATAATTGAAGCTAATGGACTTGAATCTAATCAATTTCAAGTTGTTTTTCAAATTAAATACTGGATTACCTTGGTATTAAAATTCATATTTTCATCATCAATGTTTTACTATTCATTTGTGATGCCAACATTATCCATACAATATCAAAATATGTTTCAATCAACTCATTCTTGATCAGTATCACCTTTGCTTCAACTGTACAGTGACTTTCTGGGTTCAAATGTAAGTTATTAACCTTTACTTTATTTCAAAATTGACTTATAATAACATGTTTTGCAGTTATTTTCAAAGCTTCCAATGGATTAAATGGTGAAAATATCTGGTTTTATCGATCGATTAAATAGATCAGGCGAAAGTGAATAAATGATCTATTTGGAATCAATGTTTTCATCTTGGTTTCAAGTGGAATCTATTATTGGAAAACCTTGGAGTTGCTTTTGTAATTGTTTTGCGTGAATAGCAATTAAATTGAAATACAATTTTTGTATTCAAATGCAATCTTGTTTTGCTGTCAAAAATGATTGAAAGAAAAGGCTTGAAGCTATGAGATATTTCGATCATCTTTTGCGTTTCAATCATTAGACATGTTTTTGTTATTTTGTAGCGCACTAACGTCTTGTTCCTCTGTTAATATTAGCTGCAGGCTTTTGGTGAATAATCAAAATCATTTAATGAATAAAAACTCATGTTTCAACTGATCCTGCAAACATGTTATTACTGTTTTAATTGATTATCGATGCACTGAGAAAGTTGGATGAGTTGTGTGGAGGCAATATTTCATAGTTTATTGCAAATCAAACATTAAAAATCGTTATTTCATTATACTTATGAGGCAAAACAAATTCATTAATTTTGTAATTTACAAAGTAAACGATAATAACAAGTCCAAATCCATACTTATTTAGCAGAAGCTGAAGTTCAAGGTTTGAAATAATATGCAATAAGGATATTCAGTTTCAGTTCGCAAGACTTTGTTCATACATTTATTTTTGCTACTAAAAAGACACAAATAACATCATTGTCACACTTATTCACAAATTGACAAAAACACTGAAAGAAAAATGGACAAAATCGGGTAGAAATTAGTTTTCTTCGACTTTAGCCTCTGTCAGTTTGTTAGGATATGAAAACTGAGCCCATTAGTACCATGCAAAAGTTTCTAACATCAACAGTTTTCAAGAAAATGGAGTTCGAAGTTGAAACTTAGATTGCCTTTTGTTCAGAAATGGAAGACGATTTTTCCATGAAACTAATTCCACTGATGTTACTTTTTATAGTGAACCAGAAAACAAACTTATTTTGAGCATAAAATCTTTCTTCTTCTGTAAAACAGATCAAGTTCCAATTTTAAATAAACAGACCGATCTTTGTGACCGTGAGAGTTAGTGAGATAAAACTTGGTATTCGTCCATGAAAATTGTTATAATACATCATCAAGCGAATTATTTTTTCAATTTTTCAATAGTTCTCTTGATTTTGGCCTTTCGTCTTCAAACTTTGACCGTCAATAATTCGAGTATGACATCACCTAAAGTCATTATTCTTTCACTAAACATTAGATTTCATTTTGATTCATAAGATATGCAAACATTAAACCATCCAAAATCCAACAAAAAAAGTGATATCATTGTATTATTGATGTTGTCAGATTTGAGATTTTATTTATAAAGTTAAATGGGGATTGAAACACAAATCTTGTGGCTATTATAATATTCGTTATCAAATTTCTTAATTCATATGGTATTATAGCCCTTGGTAATATCTAAGGTTTAGTCGAACAATGATGATTTTAAGTGATGTCATTCTCGAATTATTGACGGTCAAAGTTATAAGACGAAAGGCCAAAATCAAGAGAACTATTGAAAAATTGAAAAAAATATTTGCACCATAATTTTTGCAAGCAATTTTCATGGACGAATACCAAGTTTCATCTCTCTAACTCTTACGGTCACAGAAATCTGTCGGTTTATTTAAAATTCGAACTTGATCTGTTTTACAGAAAAATAAAAATGCATTCCTTAAAACAATATCATTTTCTGGTTGATTGTAAAAAGTTACAGAAGTAAAGTAAGTTTTATGAAAAAATCGTCTTCCATAACTGAAGAAAAGCCAATTCAATTTTCAACTTTGACCTCGATTATCTCAAAAACTGTCCATTCGATTAATTATTTACTAGTAGCAATGGAATCAGATTTCATGTTCCTACAAACCTCTTAAGTATCAACTCTTTACTAAAATTTTCGAGCGTTTGGCAGTACTTTTTGCATTGCAACTGCAAGTTTAACCAGAAAATTGGTTTATTTACCAAGAAATGGGTTGAGATGAGATTTGTTTGTTAAATATGTTGCTGCTTGAACATTTAAAGCCCGAAAATCATGAACCAAATGCGCTAATTGAGAGTTATTAAATTGCATTGAATTATTAACTAGTAAAGAACTAAATTAGTGAAAGAATAATGACTTTAGGTGATGTCATACTAGAATTATTGACGGTCAAAGTTTGAAGACGAAAGGCCAAAATCAAGAGAACTATAGAAAAATTGAAAAAAGAATTGGCTTGATGATGCATTATAACAATTTTTATGGACGAATACCAAGTTTTATCTCACTAACTCTCACGGTCACAGAGATCGGTCGGTTTATTTAAAATTCGAACTTGATCTGTTTTACAGAATAAGAAAGATTTTATGCTCAAAATAAGTTTGTTTTCTGGTTCACTATAAAACGTAACATCAGTGAAGTTAGTTTCACGGAAAAATCGTCTTCCATTTCTGAACAAAAGGCAATCTAAGTTTCAACTTCGAACTCCATTTTCTTGAAAACTGTTGATGTTAGAAACTTTTGCATGGTACTAATGGGCTCAGTTTTCATATCCTAACAAACCAACAAAGGCTAAAGTCGAAGAAAACTAATTTCTAGCTGATTTTGTCCATTTTTCTTTCAGTGTTTTTGTCAATTTGTGAATAAGTGTGACAATGATGTTATTTGTGTCTTTTTAGTAGCAATCATAAATGTACTAACAAAGTCTTGCAAACAGAAACTCGATCTTTTAGAAACCCATCACTCAGAGAGATCTTGGAATTGCAAAAATGGATTTAGTTTCTAAGCACAAAAATTATTCACAGACTGGTGAAAATAAATGAAATAAATGTCAGTTTTCAAGCTTAATAGAACTCGGACTTTTATTATTGAAATGATTTTGGGAAACATAAAAATAGGTGTCAATATTTTGATTATATCAATTCGATGAAGGGAAATGAAATCAATTAGATCAAAGTCAAGGTTTCAATGTTTTACACCGAAACAGTTATTTTCGATAATAAATATTGCTTTGTTTGTAATCCATAAAGTGGAACTGATAGTTGAAACAGAATAAAGTTTTTTTCTCTTCAAGGTAAGCTTTTTGCTCTTGATGATCACCAAATTTTTGGCTCTCTGTCCCATCTTCAAGATCAGATTATTATCAAGTTTAATTTTTGCAAACTTTAGTGTTTATTCAAATGCATAACTCATTTCATTTCAAGGTTCTCAATAATCTACAGTTATATTGGGGGAAATAAAGAGGGCGTCTTTGGGTGCAGATGTTCTTGATAAGATTATTCCTAATGATGGTCGATATGACTAATGCCGGGTTGAATTTCCGCATGAGACATTGATGGCTGGAACACTTAGATATCGTAATGCCAGACTAAGCAAATGATGCCAATTGTCTAATCAACTAAAATCGAAGCTCTCATCAATGACTAAACTATCTTTTTCATCTACTTATATCAATAAAAGGGAACATGACTAATTTTAATTTAATAAGTACCGAGAAACTTATCTGGAAATGCGGTGGAAACGATGCGGAATGATACCTGTAATCTTTTAATCGTCAAAAGACTGACATATAAATACTAAAGTCTATTCAATGCAAATTTCAATTCATGTTAGTTTTTTGTAATGAACAAGTGTTTGTAACACCACATCCAACATAGTGAAAAACGTCTTCAAAGTTTATTCCAGTTTACAGAATGGCCGCAATTACTTCGACAGAGGTTTGGGAAATTGTTAAACTTCTGAGAATCGATGTTTTTTACTTTTTGGCCACTTTAAGTACTTTATTACCTGAAATTGCTCTCAATCAACTGATTCAGGATAAATATTGCATCAACAAATATTCACTCAATGAAAGTGTCTGTTTAAATTTGGAAACTGCTGGACCAGCCTATGATAGAGTCAGGAATGATGTCTTGAAAGACACTACAACACTTAAAATGCATTTTACTCTAATGACAACAATACCAGCGATCATTTTGTCGCTCATTTTGGGCTATTGGATGGATAAATATCCTGGTCATCTACGATATCTTGCTGGTGTAGCATCTCTAGCAGTCATCTGTCAAAACGTCATGATTATAATTCAATGTTTACATTTTGAAATGGGTAAGTATTAGATACTCGTGAACCATTGAAAAGCTATAAGTTTATTCAACTCATTTGGTGCTCAACGTTTACTTTTTAGACGCTGATTCATTATTATGGACATATTTGGTTCCAGTTTTTACTGGAAGCTCAATCATCATCTCAATAGGAACCTTTACTTATGCAACAAGAAAGACACCAGCAAAATTTCGAGCTGTGAGGTTTACAATAATCGAGATTTGCTTATTCGCAGGTAAGTTAAAATCTTTTCAATCAAAGCTCATAATTTGAATTATAAATGCTTAATATTATTATCATTGACAGCTATGCCTATTGCAAGCCTTTTGGGTGGAGGTTTACTTGCGTCTAAACCCTGGTTTCCAAACCAGCATCGTAACTACATTGGAGTTTATATCATTTCATCTGTATCCGCGGCTATTGCCGCTATTTGGGTTGTGTTGTTATTATATGACGCTGCTGACGAGGAGGTTAAAACAAATGAATCTCAACCAAAGGGTGATGCTTCGAGTTGTGAAAAGACGAAAACAATGAAACAAATAATTTATGATATAATTAAACCAGACAACATTGTCCATGCAAGTCGAACAGTTTTCAAAAGAAGACCAAATAATGCTCATTGGTATTTGATATCAACAATACTGGCTGGAATTATATCAAACATTTGTAACTCCAGTGAACAATACATAGGTTACCAGTTTAGCCAGAAAGTTTATCATTGGAGTGCTAAACAGATTGGAACTTACAATTCCATTATCGTTATTTTTCCTGCTTTAGGTGCTCTTATTGGTCCTCCATTATTCATTCACAAAATGAACCTTCATGATACTTCATTGTCGATAATTGCTTTAGTTTCAATAATGTTGAGTTTCCTCGTCAAAGGTTTTATCCTTAATCCGATAGTTTACTTCTTCGGCATATTTGGCTGTTTCGCTAGTGTCATATTTGTTGCCGATCGATCAATCATTTCACGAATGATTCATAAAGACGAGATTGGTCAAGTTTACGCATTTTCATCGGCTATTGCGGGATTTGTCCCAACAATTGCATCGCTATTCTACACCAAAGTGTTTACAGCAACATTGGACTACAATCCTGGTCTTGTTTATATAATTACTGGACTATTATTCATTATTCCTTTATCTAACTCTATTTTGCTCAATATTAAAAAGCAAAAATGGGATCTGGTTTTGATTGCTGAAAAGGAAAAGGAAACTCAAGAAATCAAAGTTGAACTTAAATCATAACGAAATTAATTCACTTAATACTCCTCTTACATTGTTAATAACATAATTTCAATGCAAATCAAATTTTCACCATTAGTGAAAAAGACATCTCTTAACTGTTAATAGTATGTAATACAGAAATAATACTTTAAAAACATTTGTATGATCTCGACTGAATAAAATTCAATTGCCAATGAAAATGTGTTTAAATATTTTATTTATAATGCATCTTCCCGTTTCCGTGAAACTATCCTAGAAATTCACCGAAGTAATTGTACGATTGTAAAATTGTATTTTCTCCATAATTTGATAGCACGTAATCAAATTGAATGAAATCTTGAGTTATCCTCAAAACTCTTAAATAAGTTGCAACTGAGGAATCTGGAATCAAGGCGCAAGTGGCAGAAATTATGATTCAACTTTTTATAACATGGAATGAGTACAAAGAATGAAAAACTCTTGAAAGTTTCACTAAATATAATAGTCGAGGCTGGTTTGAAATCGGCCTGATTTTGTCATATCTAGGGTTTAATTTTGATAATTTGAGTACAGTAAAACCTCGGTTATTTTATATTTTATATACATCGGTAGCTAGAGTCTAGTAATGCTCTTCATACAAAAATAAAAAATAACCGAGGATTCACTGGGTTGAATGAAACATCACACGGCATAAGGAGGACCAGGACTATCATCATGTGCTCATTTTGTAATCCATATCAGTGTGATAATTGGTGAGATGTTACAATTTAGGTGATAAAGAAAACTTCTCGGAACTCTATGGAATCATCAATTACATTATTTTATTGCTACTGGAATAATCTCAATGAGATTATTTGAATAAGTTGAGCAAAATTGTCACATCTAGGGGATAATTTTGATAATTTGAGTACAGTAAACCTCGGTTATAGCTTGAGTCTACTAATACTCTGCTTACAAAAACATTTAATAACCGAGGTTTCGCTGTATTGAATGAAACATCGCACAGATAATCTCATTGAGATTATCTGAATAAATTAAGTATATATATAAAATGGGATTTGGTTTGTTTGCATGAGGCTCATTTCATCTCAGTATCGAGTAGAATAGATTTGATTAATGTTTAAAAGCTTTTATTGTTCAACGATTCTTCATTTATAACTTTATTTACAGTAAATTTTTTCTAGTCATTTATCGAAATGTTTTTGATCTCATTACTTTCAAACAATTTCATTTCATCTAAACTTATTTATAACATATCAACTGGACTCATCGCATTCTGGTGTGTAACTTATTTGATACCAACAATCAAGCGTTTATTGACCTTACCACCTGGACCATGGGGATTGCCTATCGTTGGATACCTGCCTTTTTTGGAGAAAAATAATGAATATAAAGTTCTTGACCGATTAGCAAAGAAATATGGACCCGTTTATAGTTTGAATTTGGGTAAAGATACGGCTGTAATTGTAAATGATTGGAATCATGCTAAAGAAGTGTTTAAAAATGATGAGCTACTGGCTCGACCAGGACGTTTTGCGAAGAATAAATTCGGAGTGTCCATCGTTGAAATGTCTGGTGAACCGTGGCGGGTTCATAGACAAAACACAGTACACCTTCTTCGTGATCTTGGTCTTGGTAAATCTTCATTCGATGATAAAATTATTGAAGAGATTCAACAATTCTTGCCTAAACTGGAGAAAGGTCCGGTTAAAAATGTGTTTAAAACCTTTCTATCAACAGCTACAAACACTATTTCCATCTTGTTGCTTGGTCATGGATTTGAGGACGACGATGATCCTGTGAAACAGACTCTTGTTGATGCTTTAATGATTACTTCACAATCGGGATCTCAGTTTAGTTTTTTTTCATCAGGATTACATCCAAAGATTAACAGATTGCTGATGAAGCCGACTGAGTTAACAAATGAAGAAGCTAAAATGTTTGAATCAACAAGAGCTCTTCCAAAGTACATGCAAAATGAAATTGATCAACATAAGAAGAAGCAATCAAAAGAGTTTGACGATTATATTGATGGTTATTTAGAGGAGCAAAAGAAGCGGAAAAATAATGATTCGAATGGTAATGTGCCTTTCGATGAAGAAACTTTACGATCAAATGTAGTTGCTTTTTACGTAGCAGGAAGCGAAACTGTCTCGACGACACTTACATGGGCTATTCTTTATTTGATTAAGTATCCTGAATATTATGAGAAAATACGAGCTGAAATCTCGGATGTAATTGGCTTTGAAAGGTTACCAGACTATTCGGATAGAAACCAGATGCCAATGACAATGTCTTTCATCTATGAAGTCCATCGAGCCGCTACGATTGTTCCAGCTAATTTATTCCGAGCTGCTTCTCGTGATCTAAAAATTGGCAATTTCAATGTACCTAAAGATTCCACTGTTATTTTAAACTTCTGGACTATTAACCGTGACCCTTCTTTGTACATAAAACCAGATGAATTTGATCCCAGTCGATTCTTAACCGATAATGGAACCAAAGCAGTCAAGCCTCAATTCTTGACTCCATTCAGTAAAGGCAAAAGAGGTTGTCCTGGAGAGGGTTTTGCCAATATTGAAATATTTTTATATCTAGTCAGTATTGTTCAAAGATACAAGATTGAATGTGAACCTGGATCAATATTATCGTTTGAAGCGGATTATACAACAATTAGAAGGCCAAAATCAATTCCACCGTTAATCTTTACCAAAGTATCAGAAAAAAACTAAGTTTTATATTTGATTGACTCGTCAATATTAATTTAATATCAATGTAAATGACTGTTGATGAGTGTTGAAGCGACTAAGAACGAAATTCATTGAACGCATCAAATTTGTTTTGATTCTGATTTTAATTTCTCTTTATTTATTATAGACAGTCAAAAATTGTGTAATATTTTTAATGAATAAACCGATTCATTCAATGAGGTAACTTTTTTATGATGAAGGAAATACTCATGTGCTGCTCAACGCGAAAAGTGTAATGATGATTTTGTTTATTTTGTTACAGAAAAATCATGAACTTATGTTTGGCAATGAATAAACCAGTCAATTGATTGACAATGGGACCATTTACGTGTCACTTGACATTGAAATATGTTCAGAGTTATTCACGTTTCTAGCAAAGTTTTTTACTGTATCAAGATGAAGAATGAAATAAATGACGCTTCAAAAGTTGTCAGATTTCAGATCATCAGAAGGTGTTTATTTGATCAAATACAAATAATTTGTTGATATCAAGTTAACAATCAAGTGACTAGATTGAAAATTAAAATGAAAAGGCCATTTAAGATTCGAATCGATTCGAAAAAAATTTAAAAAGATTAACAGTCTTTTTTTGGTTGGATACAAAGTAAGGATTTTGTATAAAAAATGATTGAAAAAAGAGTCTTTTAAACATTCGAGTTGAATGTGGTAAATGAAAAAGCTTCTTGGATATACGAAGATAATATGATGATAAACAATAATACTTTTGTAGAAAGATATAATAGTTGCATAATGCACAATTGCATTAGTATCTGAATACAGAGTTTAAAGATCAACATGATTACTGGGGATTTAATCCAAACGATGATTAGATCAAATATAATACGTTCCATCCATGCAAAATAATTTTATTTTTATCGATATCTTTATCGTCACTAGGAATGATCACTTTGAACAGCTTCTCGGGCCAAACAATATTCCACATCAGCTTCATATAAAGCTTTATCAATTACAGTTTTATTCAGTTTATTTTCACGACGAAATTTATTCTTTAAATCAGTTCGACTTCGTTTACCATTGAAAAAAAGGTTTGACATTAACGAAAAATCAGGTCCAATAAGATTAAGAGCAGTATAAAATTCAATTGTTTCCGTTTTAGTCCATCGTACAGTTGGAGGACGTTTACGGAATGACGAATAAGTTGTTTTACCATATGCAGGTTCTTCAATAGTCTCTCTTTCTACAGGTTTAGGTTTTTTGATAACCAAAGATTCTTCATCGATTATTAATTCACCATCTGGACCAACTTTAACTCGAGGACCAATTGATTCTTTTTCTTGTGTTTTATCAACACCGTTAGCTTCATTGTTTGTTATTATAGTTGATGCTGATGATACTGTTGTAATTACACTATCCATTGTATCATCATTTATTGATTTATTATCAGATGTTTCTTGTTTACCTGAATCTCCAGATTCTGACCTTTTCTCTACATTCTCATCAGATATTTCATCCAATTTTTTATCCTTATCCTTGTCCTTATCCTTATCTTTATCTTTATCCTTATTTTTACCGATACGTTTACCACGAGATATTGGAGCGTGAATAAGATGATAGAGAGTTAGAGAATTACGATCAAGTAAATCTTTTGGTGATATTTTAATCCTTTTTCTTGGTCTAACTGTGTCAGTTTGAAGTTTATCTCTGATAATTGGACTCGGAATAGTCGGTGACTCTTTGGGTAATTCTTTTGGTGGTTCTTTTGGTAGTTCTTTTGTTACTGGTTTATCTGAAGGTTGAGGTGGATCATCAACAGGTTCAATCAAGGTTGTTAATTTTGGTACAGTTTGTGTCTTTTTGGATACTTCATCGACTTTAGCTTTTTCTGTTGGTAAATCAGTTGAAATTTCATTGTTTTCCTCAACAATTGAAGTTTTCTCGATTATTGTGTTATTATTGACTTCAGGTTGACTTTCAACCAACTCTGTTGTTAATGAAGATGATGTCAAATCGACCACAGGAGCAGCAGCATTTTCCTTTGGCAATTTTGGTGTCGCTATAATACTTGTCGGTTCCAATGATTCTACTGTAGATGATTTGTTTTCTACTTTATCCAGTTGATTGGTTTGATCACTGTTATTAGAAATGTTTGTTTCATTGAGATTTGAAGTTGTCTGAACAGGAGTCAAGGACTCGACTTGTGTACGATCTCCACTTTGTTTAGCTTGAGGTATCTTTGGTGTAATCTTTATCTTAGATCTTCTAAACATTGTTGATTGCAATAATAATATTAATCACCGTTGTCAATAATTGAATGAGGTTGAAATAGTTTATTTATAAAACACAATTATTTACATCAATGTTCAAATAAAATGATATTCATCAAAACAAATTGACAAAAGCAACAAATATTACTGGCGCCATCTATTAACTCAATAAAAATAACCAGCTTCGATTGTCGATGCAATCGAAATGGAAGATGGCTGAAACCGATGGCTGAAAACTGGCTGAAAAACTGGGTGCAAATGACAAAAATTGGTATGTCAAATAATTTTATTTTACTTCTGGTTAATTTGCTTCAAATGGTTTGATTGGTTGTTTAAAATAACCTTAATTTTAGTTATATTTTAATTCTGTTTGTTTTTGTTTGTTTCTGTCATTCTTCTTCCATCTCATCTTGTCCTGATTGACATGATTAAGTGGATCTTTGGCTCTTGTGTGTGCACGGGACATAATTTTGCCTCTTCTCTTTGAGATTTTTGTTTTATCTCTACTTTTTTACTTCAACTTCAATGAAAAATATCATAAACACCCTTTATTAATTTAAACAAAAAGTAGACGTATTAGTGGGAGATGCCACTGGAGCAGAGAGTGATCAAACCAATTTTAATTAGTCGTTCAACATTACCCTTAGACAGTCAAGGTAATCCCATATCAATACCCAATGAATTGGAGTGTGTAACAAATGGAACTCTTGCCAATATTATTCGTCAATTGTCAAGTCTTTCAAGATACGCGGAAGACCTATTCGCTGGTATCCTCCATGAGGCAACACTTCTAATAGCCAGGTCAACATCTCTTCAGGGTAGGATTGACAGACTTGCAGTCAAAGTAACTCAATTGGATTCTTCAGTTGAAGAGGTATCTCTTAAGGACATCCAACTTAGGAAACCATTCAAATCATGTGCCAGCTATGACCAGCAAGTTGTCGCTCGTACCACAATGCCCGAGTCAATTAAGGAAATATATATGTCCTGTGACCGGCCCCCGCCTCTAGAAAAGCTTAACGCCTACCGTGATGATGGTAAAGATGGACTTAAATTTTATACAGATCCCAATTATTTCTTTGAATTATGGGCGAAAGAGATGCTTGAGGTTACAGAAAAAGAGAAAAGTGGCAAAAAGAATGCACATAGAGGACCAAATAAAGGCCAGGGTGACCTGGGCCCCAACGAAAGACGTCGAGGAAAGCCGAGACAACCTCAAAATACCGCTAGAGAAATTATGGCCAAAATTCCAGCAACAGAATTCATTGATCAATCTAGATTACAACAACAGCAACAGACTCTCCATCATCAACAGTTATATCAGCATCCTAACGGTCCCTTACAGGGTGTTGTTCATTATGGGCAACCACAACATTATTCACAGACATTGGAAAGACCTAGATCATTAGGTATTAATCAATATCAAGGCGATGGATATCATCATATGGATCCAATGGCCGTGCCACAAACTATTCCGAATCATCCCCCACCAGCTTATTATCCTCCCGGTAGTATAATGACTCAAAACCCTTATCATACTGGAAATATGGGTAATCAAGGAACTATAAGCCAGATAAGTTCTCCTGGTCGAGGTAGTCATACACCACCACCATCTTACTTTGCTACTCCTAGTGGAACAGGGGACTCAATGATTTCTATTAATCAAATGCCAGGTAGTCAACAGCAAAATCAAGGTACTCCAACAAGAAGAATTAATGCCCAAGGTAGGGGTTATTCTGTACATACGACTAACCTTTTAATTTTGTGTTCTCCGTAACTAATTTTCAATCGAGTTATAACATTATAAGCTCGGGTAACGCCTACGTTTATATCGTTGAATATCTTTCTAATTAACAAATCATTAGTGAAACTAAATACCTCTGATAGTTGATGTCAATAGCAACAAAAGCTTATTGGAATTATACTTGATTACATTTAATTTCTATGCATCATGTTTTTATTGAGTCTCTCTTTCCCTGATTTTCAATTATCACTTTAGTTGTAAGTGTTTGACAGTCAATATTTCAATACCTTAAGGCAAAGAATTGAGAAATCATATGATGAGGTAATTTATTTTCTTGGCTTGGTAGATTCAAACTTTTTTTTCTTTTCGTCTGTTCTCGCTGTGTTTAATCAGCTTTCTTTGAATAGATTCTCTTACCTCTGATAGAATATGTAAAATATTTTTTGAAAATTTTCAAGCAAACTCAACTAGCTGTTTATATCCTGCTTCTCTTCCGCCTTGATTTCTACTTTTTGTCTGTATAAAACTTTGATAGGGAAAAGGTATCCACAATTTGTAAATTGAGAATTGTTCTCTCGCATGAAGCTGTCTGGTTTGAATTTTTGACCAAGCTCCAAGTTGAAGATTTAAGCGCACAATTTACTCTAAAATAATGATAGTAAACATTGGATCTACAATCTTGAACATCAATTTGTCAGAAGCCTTTTTATGGCTTACGCTTATCCTTTTAAATTATTTTGTGATGATAATGTATCAGACCCAGAATTTTGTAATATTCATCAAAATATCTTTACTAACTAATGTTTTATTAATTTGCTTTTTTCTTTTTCTCTTATCTTCTATTTCTAGGATCAGCATCATCAATCACAGCTCGCCCCTCACAACCTCCACCCGCACCTCCCAGCAATCCACCCTCATCAAATAGTTCTTCTGGTGGAACACCAACTGTTGGGACTCCCTCTCGATCCAGAGGACCATCTCTCACTCGAGAAAGTCTTCCACCACCACCTCCACCACCGCCACCTCCACCGAATTCAGGGATGAATGGGGGAGTTAGAGATAGTATTGATAGTGAATTACCACTTCCTCCGCCATCAGGTTGGTTTCTAAGAAATGATTGGTTTATGGTTCAGTCAAGGATAACAATTTGTTTGCTGGTTTTCTTTTCTCCTCTATTCTCATTTTATTTCAAGCTGTTTTTTAATTTATATCTAATCAAAGAAACTTAAAACTTAGACAAATATCAGTGCCTAAGTTTCGCTTAGATGACGATTCTTTCGGCTGTGCAAACAGTTTTCTCTTCCATTCAATCTAGAAATTTCACACGCAACAAGTTGATTTAGTGTAGGATGATTGATTCATCATTATGAGAGGCGATGCCCTTGAAAACCTCTCTAATTAAGATTATATTTCAACTCATTTAATCAATATGCATGAAGGGTTTAATTAATTTAATTTTTGACCTGATTTCTGGTCACATAAACTTTTTCAAACAGTCAATTTAATTTTAATTTGATGATTCGACTGAAATAGTCAAAGTTGTCAATCAATTTTAATTCACTAAAAAAGCATCTAAGTAAATAATTACTCTACTGAATTCATCATACAAACCAACCAATACATCTTCTTCAACATATTTCACAAACTAAATTGCTAACCTTGCATTATTTAATTGTTGTCTTTTTATTTTTGCAGGGGCCCACATGAGTCCACCGCAAGCTTACATTCCTAGCGAGAACTCTATATCCAATCAAACAACATCAGTCCCACCTCCTCCGCCTCCACCACCACCAGAAGGATTATTAAGCAATTCTCGGGTAAATATGCTTTCCAAAGTTTATGATGATTATCGTTTATTTGCATATATTAATTTCTTACTATTTAATTTAGATTAAAAAGGATGGACCTTCTGTAGATAGCAACATGAAGAACGGCGTAATGCCCGGATCAAATCTAGCTCAAGAAATACTTCAAAAACAATCACAAGTAATGCAATCCAAGACAAGCACAATGAATAAGGTATTACCACAACACATTCAACAAAACAATGGCCGAAGTGATTTATTAGCGGCTATTAGAGAAGGAATTATTTTGAGAAAAGTTGATGAAAATAAGCAAAAGCAAATTGAAAAATCAACACCACTCTTGGATGTAGCATCTATCCTGGCCCGTCGTAAAGCAATGGAATATTCAGATTCAGAGTCAGAAGCTGGTAACTCAGATGAAAGTGGTTCTGATAATTGGAATGACGATGAAAGTGAATGTTAAATATAGTAATTTAATGCAAACGCAAATACCCTGTTCCTCCTATCATTTCTCATTCCCGCCCTTGCCTCCTTTTCCTTTGTTTTCTGCCTTTTTTATTTTAATTCCCATTCAAGAGCTAAATAAGAAAAAAAATGGTAAACAAATTTTAATTAATAGAATATTATATATATATATTATTTATATTGTATTCTATGTCATATTGTGGTCACACATGAGATGAAAGGTGATCATCACCTTGTTTTCGCTTTATTCCGTATCTTCCCTCTAAGCCAATTAAGACAAATTAGAGCAACTTTTCGTTCCTTACAAACTCGGTCTTGAACCCGAAAAACTAAGCAACCTTACCTATCTCCTAAGAGTTAGAACTTACCTGTTCACTGACTACCACTATCTACTGAATTGTCCAGATCACGGTTACTCCAAATACTCCAATGACACTCTGTTGGCTGATTATATCTCAATCTCTCTACCTTATACTTTGTTAACTAACTGCCATTAATCAGTTTAGTTATTTAAACAAACCATTTTTGTACAAGCTGTCGTTTAAACTTTGAACCGTCAACAATTAGCATTAGCAATAATGAGAAGTGATTCCTTCATTAAAAACAAACAAAAGCTCTAAACGCCGAAAGCAAAAGCTGCTTAATCAAACAATTTTACCATTGCTTACTTAAATCAATGCAAATAATTTCAGTCTTCTATGATGATTAATTATGAAAAATGAAACTGTTTGAAATATCAAAATTTGAAATATTAGATGAAAACAAATGTAAATGTTTTTTTCATCCGATTGTCTATTTCATTCGAAGCCAATTGATTAATTATTAATTGCTTTTCATTTGCAACAGATAATTAATCCAATCAACTAGGTAATCTAAATCAATCAACCTGATTTGTATTGATTTTTTCCTTTGTACGTTTTCCCACTCTGGTCCCCATTGAACGGAGCCACTCATTTTCATCATCATTACAATTATCATTATCATCTTCATCTTTTTATCACTCAAAATGTTGCCATCACAATTTACTAATATTGAAAACAATAATTATGCATCATTTTAAAATGAGACGATAAAATTTGGCTTCCCAGTCAACCTTAGTTTCCATTAATTAAGGCTTCTCAAACCCCAAAGTTAACTGTGTTATTAATTGTCTTTGTGGGAAAAATTAATAATTTATTAAGATTAAATGATATTAAACAAAGTCAATCAATTTTCTTTAACCTTTTCTTAAGATATCTGTCAACATATTGTTATTAATAATTAAGCAACAACCATTGATCAATTGGACTGGTTTTATCGTTATTTTCCAAGTTCAAATGTCCATTTAACACCATGAAAACAAATTTAACAGCTTAATTATTAATTAGATAAAGAAATTAAATGACAGCTCTTTGTAATTTCAATGGATAGTCTTAGTTTGCATCAGCTTATTATTTTCCAACTAACTAGTTATCTATGGTCATCAGAAAATAAACGAAACTCTAGATAAACGTATGTAGTTGTATTAATTTAAACTCGATTATTTGTGCAGTTCGATCAAGTCTTTAAACAATATTTAAAGGATCGGCGTCTGATTTGGCAACGATCACTTCAACATTAGGATTTTGCAGTTTGGTGATCAGTTTCTCTCTGAGAACATGTAAATAGCCACGTTCAGTATTCGTATGTTCACAAAGTATCACAGATGAACCATTTGAATAGAGTGCGTCCAAAACTTCATGATGAGACATTTCTCCAGTAATCAGTAAGTCAACAGAAAGTCCGCGTAAAACAGATCCACCTGATCCGGCACAAACTGCAATACTGTTTATATTTGAATCTGGAAAAAATAAAAAATAATTAAATCATCTGGATAAGTAAATAAGCACAAAATATGCATACCTAAACTATGTTTAGGGGCCAATGCCAGTCTAACATGATTTAAATTGAGAAGATGTTTAGTTCGATTAATAACATCTTGAAGAGTGATTGGAAACGTCAACTGTGCAATTCGACCAACACCAAAACCAGGCAATGGAGGCTAAAATAAGATAAGTAACAATTGAAATGTTAAAAGCTATAAGTTCATTAAACGATCAAACTTACTATATCGAGCTTAGATAAATGCATCGATGCCTTTGTCGATGAATTTTCCGATAAAATATTTATTATGAGGGGTAAATTTTTATCTTCACTAAAAATCACAGCAGATGATGGCAGCCTGCAGACAAAAATAATTGTAATTAATGCTTGAAATTGTGATAGAGTTAATATTTACTTTACCTTAGAACTTTTCCTAATTTTTCTACTCTTTCCAATAACTTACTGTCACTCTCGGAAGGAAGGACGGTTTCTAATCGATATGAATAATGATTTGTTGATCGACTATCCATCGAACTTTGATTAATTGGTCTGACTTCCTTAATATTGAAAGGTGATAAAAGCCAATCATTTATACCATCTTTAATGGCATCTAAAGCTGTGTGAGGTGAGTAGACAGCTATTCCACATTGAATGCAGTCTAGAACTAACCGCTCTTTCCAGGTTTTGTGGTTAAGAGATTTTAGTGGGTGAAAAATAGGCGGATGATAAGAAATAATCAGCTCAGTTCCATACGTTTTAGCCTCTTCGATAACTTTCTCAGTTAAATCTATGGTTAAGACAATCTTTCCGATAGATATTTGAGTAAATGGTTCAACAAGTAACCCAACATTGTCCCAGCTTTCAGCTAAATGTAGAGGAGCAATTTCATTCAGTAAACGAACAACTCCCTCCAGACTTGGATAGTTGACATCCATTCTCTTCTGATTCGAATACTGAATAAATGGTAATTTGTTGATTGAGTTGAAACCAAAGGTCTGGAAAATAAAATATAAGAAATCATAAGCTTAGTTAACATGGTTGTTTGTTTTTAATATGAAAGAGCTGACTAAGAAGTTTGAAAAAGATGAAAATCCAAAATAGTGAGCCATATTCAAAAGCAAATGGCATTATAAAGCCGAAACTGAACCAAAGAAAAAATGACTCACATTGTTTAAAGGGAGAGTTTTCTTGGAGAAATCTTTAAAAATTCCAAAAGATCTTGAGTCAGATAGTTTATGAGGTATTAGTTTAATCAAACTACGAAGCATCTATATAATAAAATGAAGGAGAAAACGTGAAACTGAGAATTGTTATTGAAAAATGACACAATAATAGATAGAGACTAGGCAATAACTTGCTATGAAACTCACTTACCTAAGTTGAAAATTCAAAACAAAGAAACAAAAAGATCACAGTAATCTTTCCATTACAATTATATGATGATCTAATGAACTTTCTTATTAAAAAAACATGAGAAATACATTGAAAGATTGAATGAAAGAAACAAAGAATTACAATTAATTGATAAACTTGGTGCTCAGAAATAACCTGGTAACTCAATAGAATGGTTACAAGTAACCAGTTACTTGTTAGTTACAAAATTACAAGCGCAAAGATTTGAAAAGCATAAACTACAATTTTCAATTTTCTTAGCGTCTTCTGATCTAACTTTGTGAATTTAAATTTTAGATCATGCATTTTTCGATAAATAGTTCATCTAAGTACCATTTATTCACCTGAAATTTTATCTGGATTAAATTACTACATGTATCACATTTGTTAACCATAAGGGTGAGTTGCAAAGAGTAGGATACTTTACTCTTTGGTGAGTTGTGTATAACATGGATTAAACACGAATAAAACTGATCTTTTTAAATTTCTGGCCCAAAATAAATTAATACTTTCTGATCAATACACTTTTGCCCGTTTTGATCTTCTTCTAAATCACAGAGTATTCATATAATTGACTACATTGATATCTAAATACAATCGACTTGCCAGATACAAACCATTAAAATGGTTTCTAATGTTGGAGAAAGGGAGAAGTAGAGCTCGAAAGGTTTGTCGTCGACCAAATTAAGGGCAAAATATCCTACCATTATGAATTTAATCAAGTTATCTTCAAAAGATTTAGTGACTTTAGTTGGTTTGTTGATTTGATCAAGTGTTTGATCATTGGCTACCCTTTGGTGAGTTTTAAAATGATATTTAAGAGCGTCACTGCCAGATTTACCACTGAAAGTTGCGTTGCATTTTTTACACTATAAACGTTGGCCATCTATTTCATGGAAGTTATCCCACTTCCAAGATTTACGTTTTTTCGGGTGGGAATCACAGTTCACTTCACAATCAATCAAAATGTCATGAGAGTTCAACATAACTAAGAAATATAAAACACCTTTTTAAATATAACTTCAACTACAATGAAATTGAATTGAATAAGATGGAAACCGTTTGTAAAATCGTTATTTTATTGGTTAAACAGTGAAACTTGAAATGCTAAGAATATTGAAAGAACGATATCTTGTGATATAAACAAGAGTCCAACAACAATTAGCTGTAATATGACCTCTAACATAATCCATTAGTAAACTGTACTTTGGATTCAAAGCTAGACTAAAGGCTTAATGTCATTGGACTTCGGATTCAAAGGATAATTTTCATTTTTTCATTAGACTTAAGCTTTAGCTGCAAGTCTAGCCTCAACACTAAAATCTAGACGGCTAAAGACAGATGCTCTACCATTAATTTTACATTATTATCCCTCATAACAGTGCTTTGATTTACCATGGTTTGATTCATCGATTAATGTGAACTACTTTAATCAACATAAATATTAATGGTTTTAAGATTTCTTCAGTTGCTGTAGCTTGGATATCAAAAAGCAAGTTGAGTTGCTTATTAGTATGCATATTAAAATGATTAGGTCCAGTAAGTTTGAATTTATTTTGATAGCCAGGAAATACCAGTCAAGGTTATTCCTAATTTGTTTTCGTTGGAATTAGTCGAAGGTTGTCGCATTTCAAACAATTGAATCATTTAAAATGATGAAAGTGTTAAATAGATTTTATTTAAGAAATCAATTTCAATTTATATGCTTTAACCATTAATATTTTACAGCTAAGCAAATAAAGTAGTTGCGATTAGGAAGACGATATCAATCTTTCAAAAGTTAACTCTTTCTAGCTTCAATCTATTCTAATAGAGCAAATAAATTAACTAATTTAAAGATAATATTTACCATTGGTTATTGAATCATTCTTATGATAACCTCGCCAATGTTATCCTTTCTTAAATATTTTAGTTAAAACTGAAGTATCAAGAATTGCAAAGCTAACCAGTGATTTCAGTTACTCAAATCAATATCATATCAAATAACCATATATCAATACCATCAGTGTCACTTTAATCATCTCTATATCTATTACCATCATAATTATCAATTACAGTTTACAGTAAACTTGATTCTTTTCCTAGTTTTTTCTTCCCTCTTTTTTTTTCAGCCTCTCTTATCCTGGTAGCTGCTACTTGCAACAACAACCACAACACTATCACACTCTTCTGATAAATGTTGCTCTATACCTTCTGATCTCTTGTTTTTTTGTTGTCCAATATTATCAGTTGATTATAGTTACTGTTTATCTAACCACTGGTCTTCCGAACATTATTTAATAGTCTTTATTACTCTGTGATGAAATTAAACCTCTGTTCTGTTACTGAATTGTTCCTGTCAACCAATTCACACCATAAAGATATTTAAGCTTTCCATAAAAGCTAAATTTCTATTTTCTATTGTTTCAATCAACTTGCCATAAAAATGTACATGTCTTTAACCTCTTTGGTTTTTATTATTCAGTGTAAGTAATTTCATTAATTAATCATTTATTGCGATCTATTTAGTAAGCTGCTCAGCTTTGTTTTACCTTTCTATTAACATTTCCATAATGAGACCTAATTTTCCCTTTACTCATATTTCCTTTGTTGCTCTTTTTTTCTCGCTTATTCTGATTTGCCATTTCAATCCAGGCTTCCTCATTTGTTCTGCTGAACACATTATTCACACTCCAAGATATTCCGATTTTGGTACCTGGGGCAATTGGGAGTATTGTCCATCTGGTCAATTTGTCAATGGATTCCAACTACAGGTTGAAGCACCGAGAGGTGAATTTGGTGATGATACTGCATTAAACTCAATTCGATTCTTTTGTGGTCCTGTTGGTGGATTTTTTAATCATAGCAATTTTATTACTAGTCGTCAAGGATATTGGGGATCTTGGGGCCAGGTTTATGCCTGTGTTGATAACTCAACAGCCATTGGTATTCAACTGAGAGTGGAAAAGAGTCAAGGAATTTTGGATGATACTGGTGCCAATAATCTTCGTATGGTTTGCTCTGATAGATTGGTTCATGAGGGAGATGGTACTATTTGGGGTAAATGGCTGACAAAATCATTATGCCCAAGGCGAACAGCATTATGTGGATTGAGAACTCTTGTTGAAAGCTGGGATAGAAGCGATGTTCTTGATAATGGTAAGCTAATTATCAATAAATAAATATCTTCCTGTCCCTTTGCCCAAAACATTAATCACTTCATTAACTTCATTAACTTTGTCTTTTTTTCCTGTATTTTAGATGATACAGCTTTAAATAACGCTGATATAGCCTGTTGTGATGTTCCTAGTCCAGCAAAGAGTTGCACTCCTAAAGAAAGATGGGAATTTGTTGCTCATTGTGATAACACAGTTGGAACTGAGGTATATTGATTTCATAATTTAAGGAAAATCACCTGTTATTTCAATCATGAAAACTTACTAGAAATATCAAAACAATAGCTTTTAAAGGTCATACTTGTTCTCTTAATATCAAGATTGCAAGATAATTAGGAATATGTTCGGAAAGTTACTTATGAAAATATTGAAACAGTCATAAACAGCGGAAAACACTTCATGTTAATCTTTCAACAATTTTTTTCTATTTCATGCCTTGAAATGCGATAAAACAAACATATTCCTATTGAATTTTGAGTGCCTAAGTCAATCATTTCATGTTACAGCGTTCTTACAACTAATACTGATAGTAGATACTCTTGACTTTATTTCATCAAGTATATCTAATTACTGTTGACTAATGAATCTTTTATTATGTGAGGCTTGAGATCTTTTTGAGTATCTAATGCTAATTCACCTATTTTAAACAAATTTTTATCTCTTCTCTCAAAACAGACTAAAGAATGTGAATTTGAAAGTAAAGACGATACTCCCAACTATTGGACTGATGTCACCAGAATCTCAAAAACATACAAAGATCTTGGAATGAGAATAGAAGATGACTATGTTGACCTGATCAAAACATTCCATGAAAAGCTCGGTAAAAGTAAGCGAACTGGTTTCGATTGGAAGGCTTTTGGAGGATCATTAATGAGCAAAAAAGCTCATCTCAAGCTCAAAGCCCCACCTGGAGAAAAACAATACCTTTATCGTCTTCTTGCTAAATGTGGCATTTATCACATTAACTCTGAATATTTCAAGATATTTGACGAAGAACTTGATCCAAGTTTGACATCATTTGATTACTAGAGTCTTACCACAATGCATTTTCATTTTGCTGTAAATCCATAAACTTCATCTTCCTTTAATTTTCTTGTTAACCTCTCATCGCCGAACCAAATCATCGAAATTCTTTTCGCTTTGTCTCAACGTTGAAAAATACCAAACCTCAGCATATTGTAAGCCCCTCATATTGCTATTTAAGAAAGCTTTATTATTATACTATCCTGTAAACTGTGCCACCTTCTGAGGAAGGAATGGAATTGAATTCCTGAAATTCAGATAGAGAGCGACCTTCATGACTATTTGGAAATTGATTAAAAACATTTTGATGCTAATTTGCTATTAATTTAAGTTATTGGTTGCTTGAAAAGTGATACAGTAGAGGTTCCACTTAAGTTGTATAAATTTTGATGGGCGACATCTAACGGAATAAATTTAAGGGCTAAATTTTGAGACTTTTTCATGCTTTTTGACACATTTATAATTGATTAAAGATGAAAAACAATCTTTTTTAATGCAAATTTGGAAGTATTTTGTTGAATAATTCCACATTTGAGGTTCAATTCACTTCGATTAAAAATTGCGAAATTTTTGATTCTCATAAATTTGTGAAAAACATTAACCCGCTAGGTGGCAACCTAACAAAAATACAACCTAAGTGGGTACAACTTAACTGGAACCTCTACTGTAATGTTTTTTTCTATTGCTAATTGCTACTGCTAGATGGAGATAGTTGACCTTTGTTTCACTCGATCTGAAAGTCACGTTTTTTGGACCTTCTGGATTCATCTAATTACACTAATTCAAAGCCTTACACTAATTAATCTATAACATTAATCGCTCAAGAATTTGTAAATTCTAAATTTATATTTCAGTCTGAACCTGAACACATAGTAACCGTCAAAATAAATCTCACCTGTTATTCTCGTCTGCGGGCATGCGTTACACACAAGCGTACCTTGAAAGTTACATAAACAAATAAAAATAACTGTTCGAGATTGCTTGAAACAAGTAAACATGTGAATAATGAGTTAAATTTAACAGCAACTTTAAGTGATTATTTGATTTCAATTCGTTTCAACTTAATAATTAATTAACTATTTATCTTATTTTAGCAAAATGATCACCAACGATGACTGTACAAATTGTAAAAGAGCTGCCATCAGACTTGGTTATTGGAAAGATCCATATATTGACCTTTTCTCCAAAGGAAAACCTACTATTGAACGTAAAACACCAGAAATCAATCGTGGTTATTATGCTCGTGTAGTCTCAATCAAAATCATCATTGGTCAATTTCTGGATTACGTTGAAAGTCAAGGTAAACAGTGTCAAATTGTTAATCTGGGCTGTGGCTTTGATACTCTATTTTGGAGACTGACCGAAAATTCCAAAAATGCCTCTACTATTAAACATTTCGTCGATGCTGATCTACACGGAATCACCAGCAGGAAAATTTATCATATCAGGCATCGACCCGAGTTATTATCATCTCTTGGAGAGGATATTAAATTCAATCCTATGGAATTACAATCTAATGTTTATAAATTAATACCTGCTGATTTACGTGATACAAACAACCTGTCCACCAAATTGTTCAATGAATGTCTTCTGGATCGCGATCTGCCAACATTATTTCTCGCTGAATGTGTATTAATCTACATGACGGTTGAAAATTCAAACAATCTTATATCCTGGATATCATCCAATTTTACGAACGCCTTTTTCATCAATTATGAGCAAATAAATATATTTGATAGATTTGGTCAAATAATGGTTGATAATTTGAGACAAAGAGATGTAGAGTTACTTGATTTGGACTCTTGTAAAGATTTGGATAGCCAAAAGTCTCGTTTTACCAACAATGGCTGGGACAATGTTGATGCCTGGGATATGTATCATGTTTACCGTCACGGGATTCCAAGAGAAGATCTAGATCGTATTGAACGAATTGAGTTTCTAGATGAAGCTAATCTTCTGGAACAATTATTGACCCATTACTGCTTAGTGATTGCTAAGAAAGGGTTGGCAGATTTCAACATTGAATTTTAGATACGAAATTCATTTTCGCATTTTACCTTCTACGTCTATTTCTAAGATTTGATTTAACTTTGTGTAATATGATGATGGTTCAAATTATCTCGAAACTCAGTCCCTTTTCTATACTTCTGCTTCAAGATCTTATCCCGTTTTATTTAACCATTTCCATTCCGAATAATGTTATGATTTGTGAGTTAGTTGATAATTCTATTCTCCTAGTCAGTTTGAATGTCAATTGTCAAGTTCAATCATGATTTGGAAGTCTGAAAACTTGTGTTAAGGCACCATAATGATTGTAATCATTCGAGTTTTCAAATTAAACCAAACTGCTTCCCTTCAATCTTTAATCCTTCAATTTTATTGAAGTGAAAATGTTTCGATTCAAATTCTCATTTTTATACATCTGTAACGCAATAAATTTAAAGATAAATAAATGTTACAAAGTTAAGTTTGTTTATTACTGTCGGTTAATCAGATTTTATTGTTTCCAATTGATATTGTGCTCACTGATCAATTACTATAGACATTTCGATTTTTAAAAGTTAGTATTATTAGAAAAAGCATATCATCAAAAATTATTTGGTTAGATGATTTGGTAAACAGAATATAATTTTCTTTATTTCTTGACGCAAGATAGTTATTTTATCACTATCTGTCAATATTACAAAATATAATACTAGCAAGTAAGTACATGGAAAGAGCAGGGAAATTTTTGATGAAAAATAGCAAAAAAGATAAACATTTTAACACGAGATCAAGATCATCAATTTATGAAAATACATATTCTAATGGATTGAATCAATAATTAGAGGCTAATCAGAACCTTTTATATTTGTACAAATAATTTTCCAAGTGAAAAGCAATATAAACATGCCATAATCTGGACGAATGGAGTGAAAAAATCACAATACAATAAGTTGATAATGAAAAAATAATTCATATCTATAGATATCTTTCTTCATAGATCACAGACTTGCCAAATGGATCCTAGTTCTGTTAACAGCCAAATGTCACCATTTAATGATGCTGTAATAAAGAATAAGAAACAAAATTAATCAAATGACAAAATTGAAACCAAGATAGTAAACAACAGAAACTCATTAGCACAAGATCAATCAACTTATTTAGCTGATCTTAGTTGCTATTGAGGTTTCTGATATTTACTCAACAATTGAGAAATAATTCTCCTATCATTGTTCTCATTACCTGAAATGGCTTTTAGGGAATCTTTTAATAGAGTTGGTGCCTTTATTTCTTGCCAATCAGTACCCACATAACTGGATGGAGGTTGGATTCCTATTCTTTTGAAGAGTCGATTACCTTGTTTACTCAGAATCCAAACACTTTTTGAAGAGACTGCAAGTGATTTTACTTCGACCGGAGCATGAACAGGTAACCAGGCCATTCCACCGATATGTTCGTCTTCGTCTCCTCTCGTGTTGAATATTCCAGCTCGAACAAATAGTCTGTTTAATGAGTCAATACACCAAACCAGAGAAGAATCAACTGGGCAGACTTGAACTTCTTTAACATGAAACTTATTATCAGGGTCGTGAGGAAGCTTGGTCCAAGAATTAGTTTCAAGTTTGGTAAGCCAAACATCACCATTTTCATCAGAAAGCCAGCCAATAAAGTCAGTCGAGCACAAGGATAAATTCGTAAATCGGATTGAAGGCAATTTAGGCAAAAGAACGTTAGTCCATTTAGTGCCTAGTGAGCCTAATGGGACAATTGCTAATCCAGATTCATCTACACCCTCACGCGTCCAAAGTTCATTGTCTTCATTAAAAATATAAATTCTATTCTTGATTGCACCCATGATAAATCTTTTGTTATTGCCAGGAGGAAGACGAAGTGATTCAAAATCTGGATAGTAAACCAGCTTTGATCGATTTTTAGAGACACAAAATAACCAAACATATGAATTCGACTCTAGATCAGAATATGCAGACGCACAGAAATATTTAATAACCAACTGACCAGAGTTGTGCGTACTTTCGATAGCAAGTTGCCATTCAACATCTTTAACAGGTCTTTGCTCTTGAACTGGAATACAGACTATTTCGTCGGGTTCTATTGGAGTTGATTCTTCTGTATATTCATAGCTTCTTACTCGATCATCTATTGAGCTGCAGCGTGACTTAGATCTCGATGCACTTGAAAGTTGCAATCTCTCTTCAATAATTGATGGAATATAGTCTGGAGTTTGGTCTTTATCTAAAATTTCAATGTTTTTGAAAATATTCACCCCATCACGGATCATCGTCGATTTAACATCTGATGCATAATTGGAAGAGCTATATTCATGAAACTTTTTAACAAGCTCTAACCCATCAAGGTTGATAGAATTGTTAGATTGTGTTGGGATTTGATCTTTAATGCACGCATTATCAGCTGAACATTCCTGGGGTTCCATATTTTCTATATTCTCATTGACATCAGCAATATCAACATCAGAATCAGAATAGGTTCTATCGTTTTTATCGTGAGAATCTTCTATTGAGTTAGAATTGGATAAATTTGATCTTGTTGGGTCAACGTCGAATGAATTTGACAGGCGTGTTTGGCTTACAGTAAAAAGTACATCTTCTTCGGATTTTTCAGAATCTGTAACAGATTTTGAATTTGCCGAGTTTTTTCTCAAAATTCTTTGATGAATGTATAGGGGACTTGTTGGAACACTCAGGATTTCATCATTATCACAATCAGTTGTTTGATCGAGAGAGGGCGATTCCGATGTGTCGTTCTTTTGATTCAGCTGGTTATCCATTGAGCTATTTCGTCGAAGAACGTTAAGACTATCAAATGAAGTGTACGTCAAAAGTTTCTCTCCTCCTTCATAAATTTTATCCTGCATGATGGTATAAATCTTTTTTATTTCTCCTTCCAATGAATTAAAAGCCTGACTAGGTAGATTGAGAAGATTTTGGTTGCCAAGTGTACCTTTAAGTACTTCGCCAATTCCATAATCGGAAGTTCTTGCCTTGTAATTTTTAACAATAAAACGTATACGAAATATAGTCCAGTCCTCACGTAAAATAATTACATCTCGAAACCCTTTACAATAAGACACATTAACAGTGATTATCTTGATGGATGAATATTCCTTAACAAGTAAAGTTCCGTCCAGTTTAATAATGAGCAATGAATGGGAATTCCAGGAGCAAATATAATCTTCGTTATTGATTTGTAAAGGCAGTAGAAATCCCAAACTGAATACATTAGGGGTATTTTGTAGATTAATAGGCACGGCTGATGTTGACTTTCTTTCTCCAGGTTTATTTACTTCTCTGAAGAGATTCAAATTTTTCACTGGTTTGGCACTTTTAAGTTTGAATGTTTCAACAACACTTCCATCAGTGGTATTTGCTTTAATTAAATGCATAGAAGGACGAGAAGCAAGAATGGTATTTCCCTCTCTATGAAATATGGCACCATATTGACCGCAGACTTTCCTTACATTAAGTCCAACTTGAATAGCTGTCCAGGAATCAGAAATACTTTTCCAAAGAATAACTGATCTGAAACAAGTTGATACTACTAGTAAATCTGGACTGTAAACATCTATTTGAACAATTTGATGATAATGAGTCGACTGAGAACTATCGGAATTGTCATCTCTATTTACATTCTCTATACATTGATTGTTCTCTTCACTGAATATAGTCACTGTTTCGTCTTCAATCACATTATGACAACGGACTGTACCAACAGAATCTCCGGTGAAAACATTATATCGATGTCGACTTTCATCATAAATACATTTTGAAGTAATCATAGACGGACAATTGTCAGGTGATTGAGGATGCTGGCAATCGAACCTAAAAAAGAAAAAAAACGAAAAAATTAGTCAGAATTGACGATATTTCCATTTAAATGATTACCAAACAAAATTTTTCACTGGAATAACTAACAGATGATGTACTCAGAGATATGTAAAATTATTTATAACATGGAAATTCAAGTAATGAATAGATAAGACGATAACAATCGTTGGTTATGAGAATGTGACAAAGCAGATTTACAATTGTTAGACTAGCATTTTAAGTTAACCATACCTTTGTAAGGACCAAGAGTAGATTATTTCGTTTTGAACAAAATTAAACAAAATGAAACCATGAGGCAGTAAAAGGGATACAACGTTTTCATCGGGAATTTGGATTCCAATAATTTGGCAGTTAACTGGATGATGCTCGTATAAAGGACCTTTAGCCTGTCTACCACCTCTAGAGAAACAATATATCCAACCAGTGCTGGTACCGAAAAATAAGAAATTTTCATCACAGTTGCAACATGTAACATTTGTTTTCGGCTGGGCATTTATATCCTCCTCCTCAGAGTCATTTATATTTTCATATCCAGGTAGGCATTTTCCTTCAGTAATCCTATTCTCGTCATGGTTATCGGATTCACTTGAAATCCAGGTACGAAGAAAATCAAACCATTCACAAACAAAATCACAGGAAATAACATCTTTTTGACTCATTTCTGTACAAAAGCTGAGAGTGGGAAACAGAGAGGGTTAAACAAAAAGTAAATGATGCAACCATAAACCAGGGTAACCAGCAAATGTTGTACACATTAACCAATTTATTGGCACAAAATTACAAAACAAGACACTAATTAGACACAAACTAATATGGAAAATGGTTTGGATGGAAGTGATTGTAGGGAGAAACTAAACAAAAAAATAGCCACTAAACAAAAACAAGATGAGTCAAAAGTTGCAGAAAGGTGATACTGGGAGAAGCAAAACCAAAGTAAACGAGTGAGCTGAATGTAGAAAGTCGATAGTGAGAAGATTAAAGATGTTTCTTCTTACTATCCTTGAAGTCACAATTACTTTATCAATGATTGGTTAGTCTATGGTGATTGTTTTGGGATCAGAGACGATGAGTAAATGCATATTAGTAGATTAACACTTCAAACAATTTCTAGGAACATAATATAGTCTGAAATCCAAGCTTATCGCGATTGAGGCTCACTCAGATAAGTTGATGATAAATATTGTCAATATTATCAGTAAGTTTTCCATCTGGTACATTGTTTGACTGAAATTCTGTTTCAAATTGTTCATCAATCCAGTACAATTTCGGAGCAAATGTCCTCGTCCACTTTTGCGCTTTCATAATTAATGAAGATTATCAAACTATGTAGTTAGCCTTGAGAATCGATTTTTACTTCCAACTTTCTAAATTTTCCTGAATAAACTCTGAAGGCCAACCTGTTATTAATTACAGCCAGATAACCCAAAAGTTATCTTCAAAGTTAAATTGTTAAAGATAGAGAGGTTTCCTTTGACATACTGATAGAAAAACAAGAAAGTTCAATGGACTTCAATGAAGCTTTTAGTCAATGTTTAAAAACCAAATGTGGTTCGATTGTAAACTACTGACCAGATTAGTGTCATTTAATTCGATTAACAAAGCAGCCCAAACCATGGCAAATCATTGATTTTGTAAAACTGAATATATATCTTGTATTACATCCTTTTTTTGGCAGAACAGTTCAATGAAACAGCAGAATGTTGATCTCACTTCAAGATTTTTTGAGTTTGATTTTATAAAAATGTCATTTACTCAATGTCCAGCCCAAAGGACATCGAAGTTAGCTTCATCAAATAATTGGAATTTCGGTAATAAATAAAAATAATCAATGATTTAAATGGTTCATTTACACAAAATTGGAGGAAAAAAATACGGAAAGGCAATAGAAAGAACAGAGAAGCAGCTCGGAACTTGTAATGGATCCAGCTGATAGCGAATACTTTTAAGCTCTTGGTTTGCCTTTAGATGATGATTTTTCATCTGCAGTAAAAAATCTCTTAACAGCAAATACTTGAACAACAGATGATAATACGATAATCAGGCATTGAGCTATAGACCAATTTTGAATATAACGATTGTTACCATCTACTAAATACCAATCATGAGAATGATGACGACGAGATTGATCTAAACTCTTCAACATGGTTCCAATATTTTTGTCAACATTTGATAAAGAAGCCTAAGGAGAGGATAAATAAAAATTAGCAAATAATGTCAAGTAAAAATGGGTTAACGAAAAATCACACAGCATACAAAATAGATTGTCAGCTTGGTTAGAAGGTTGATAAGAGACCAGTGAAGTTGATAAAAATTAAAAATATCAATACAAAAACAAATACTGACAAAGCCTGCTTTACCAACTTCTCTGTTTTCTTATTGACCATTTAGATGGACAAATATATCAGCGTCTATTTTGAATGCAGGAGAACATGATATGAACGTGGACACGAATAATTACCGTGAAATTTGAAACTGCTACATCGTTGGCTGTCAGTTCAGATATATATTTATCCCATTCATCTCTTTTGTAAGACGCTACATAAAGACTAACCAATTTAGAGGCAAACCTGGAGAGTGAATTGTCAATACAGAATTGGTAATAACCTAGAGAAGGAGAAAGAATAACAAAATATTAGATTCATGAATAATAAACAATGTAGTGTAGAATTTAATCCTGTTTTGTTGCATATTCAATGAAAATCTCAGTCATTTTAAAGCTATTACAATACAGCAGCTTACAAAAGCCATTTTGAAATTTTCACTTTCCTTATAGAAAGTGAGAAACCGGCTTTACATTAAGAGTGACTGGACGATAGCATTACCAGAAATAAAAACTGAAACGTGTTTGTGAACTATTGGTATGAATTTTTTACCATAGTTAATTATAATCTGTAATCTTTCAAGAAATTTGACTAAAGGTAGACACCAAAAGCAAAAAGAGAGTTTTTACACATGTTGATATTCATTGAATGCAACAGATTAGGTTAGGTCTACAGTTTGATGTAAACAAAAGTAAACAACGAGAGCAAATGTCTTACAATTATCGGAGTGAATTGACTTGAATTCAAACTAAATTGTATAAATTGCTTCTTACCTCCATTATGTACTGAAGATTCTTCATGTTCAGCATTCTCAGACCACTTGTAAGGAAGGATTGTTGCTCCAGTTGGATCTCTGATTAAGAAGCCAGCTTTACTATCACCTCCTCTCATAACCTAAACATTATAGTATTGTCACCAAAACAGAGAGATATAATTAGACATTTGAATCAACACATGTCCATGTACTTTAAATAGTAGGTCAATTTGTAATAGTAATTAAGTGAAATTTCAAATAGAACACTCACCTGAAATGCCACGTAGAGGGTTGACTGAGCTTGAACCATTTGATAGAAACATTCTTCCTTACTTGCATCAATATGTATCTTAAATTCATAAGCAAAACCTAATTTTTCAGGACTTGGATATGTTTCACAACTAATTAAACCAATAGTCCAACAAATAACAATAAAAATAAACGTTAAATTAACAAAATCATTGGCCATTATCGGGTAAGTTACTAATTTGAAAACATGTTAACCAGATGTAGTAGAAAAAGAAAACATCAACATTCAATGTGCTTGAGCATCACTTTTCACTCACAAACTTGATTCTGTTCTTTGCAGTACAATCCTACTGAAGCTCCATTTTTCTCTCCAGTTTTCAAGTCACCTTTGATTCTGTAACATAGTTTTCACGTTCAACTTTAAGATTAGGAATTTCATGAAACCTCTGATACAAAAATTTAAATAACATTTGTTTTGGTGTCATTTTAAACACAATTTTACAGCAAGCTCATTAAAATGAAAGTCAACTTTCTTATGTCAAAACAGACATTGAATCAAAGTCAATTTTTATTTAGCATGGAATAAACGCGAAACAAATTATCAAAGCATTAAGTTGCTCAATAATGTAAAGCTCAATCAATTTAAAAAAGATTTGCAAAATACGCTCAGAAACTCAATTTACATGAAAGTTGAGCTCTCTTTGGAGATGACAATGTTTTTCAGTTTTTCAAGTAATTGATCAGAGCGATGACAAAGTTTTTGCAAAAATGTTGTAAAGTCATCTGTCAATGCATGTAATTCATGATAGATAAGACAGATATTGAAAATCAACATCGAAAAAAATTGATACAATTATTGTAATTGCATTGCGCGAATAAAGCTGTATCTGGAAAATTCATTTTAATTTTCTTTGACAACAATTTGATACAACAACATATTTATCAGGGTTTTGAGTGCAATTACACATGAATAACTCAATAAACATTGATTTCGATTGAATTTACATCAAATCCGTTTCAATATCAGAAATTTAATCAGAAATAGTATGGTAATCAGAACTTATGGCGAGACTTTATTACTGGGGGATCAGAATCATTCAATTTCACGGCCAGACAACTGGAAAATTTATCAATTGCTTTATGAGAGCTCGATATTTCTAACACTCTAATTGCAACAATCTATAGATGCGATTGTGCGAAGTGAAATTAATATAATCGTGACAATTGATTGTCTCAAAAGTTTATTTTAATTACAATAGTTATTATTACAAATTACTCAAGAATATAACAGGCAATTGGATCGAAAAGTTGAAGAGAGAGAGAGAAAAGTAGTTTGATTGAAGTCTTTTAATCAAATCTGGATGAAAAGTTTTTCCATCAACAGGTTAGAAGAATATGAATTTCAATTTCAATTTACAGACCAATTGACCAATTGTCTTACTTTTTGAACAGAAGCGATTGTAATACCTTAATTATGAACATGATAAATACAGTTTAGCATAAATATGCAAATGGAAAGATAAATGGAAGACAAATAATACGCGAAAATTGTAACTACATGATAGAAAGCAATCCATAATAATCACATTATTGAAATGAAAGTGGAAAGGGAAAAGCAAGATTAGGATCGAGTTAATTCATTTGGCCCTGGGTAAATTGTTTCAGGTTAGCAACAATCAAAAAATTGTTGTGGTTGGATAAAATATTAACAAGTGCAGGTGAGGATGGAGAAAGGATGAAGATATTAGGAAAGAGAAAATGTTTTGTTACAAAAATCGGATGATCAGTGGAGCATATACAGATTTGACCTTATTTTCCGTCGGTGGCACCAATTAAAAAATTGTTTTTTATCTCGGGGTTCCACTTGAAATACTTTGATGGACAAACTTGAGTAACCCGAAAGCGGAAAAATAGTTTTGCATAGTAGAAATGAATTTCCGTTTATAATCAATTCCAAAATTACATTCTCATAACTCTTTCTGCTTTGCTTTTTTTTCATATTAACAAATTCACATCATTATTATCAACATCCTTGTAAATGATAATTAATTAGATTGATAATGAATTGTTAATTAAATTACTTTTTCCTTCTTAATCCAAGATTACCAAGACCAAGACCTCCTAAATTACCTAAACCACCTTGTTGACCACCAAGACCTTGTCCTCCGCCAAGACCACCTAAGCCTTGTCCACCACCGAGTCCTCCTAATCCTTGTCCACCTCCAAGTCCACCCAAGCCTTGTCCGCCACCAAGACCTCCGAGACCTCCAAGACCTTGTCCTCCTTGTCCACCTAAGCCTTGTCCACCAAGACCAGCTAAATTACCTAAGCCTCCTAAGCCTCCAAGACCACCGAGTCCTTGTCCTTGTCCACCTTGTCCTCCATAGCCTAAGAACACAAAAAAATTAAGTTTGTAAAAAGTCGAAAATCGTAAAGACAAAATCTAGTCAAAATCTAGTTATTTTGACTATTGAACTCACCTTGACGACCAAGACCACCAAGATTACCTAATCCACCTAATCCGCCAAGACCACCAGGAGCACCACCTCGTCCACCTAATCCACCGAGACCCAAAAGGTTACCAAGACCACCTAAGCCATTGACTAAACCTCCTAAACCTCCTAAGCCTTGTTGACCCTGTTGACCTTGTCCACCATATCCACCTTGATTTCCACCTAAACCTCCGAAACCACCGCCTTGGTTACCACCTAGGCCTCCAAACCCTCCATTAGAGTTATCAAAGTTTCCACCATAGCCTCCGCCATTTCCAGAGCCTCCGCCGAATCCACCACCATCACCTCCAAGACCACCAAGACCTCCTAAATCACCCTGGCCTCCTTGGCCACCGAGTTCTCCGTCACCTCCAAGTCCACCGAGATCACCTAAGCCATCGAGACCGCCAAGATCTCCTTCACCTTGGCAGGCAACTTTTGTGACCAAATTGAGTGATAATATCACAAAAAGAAACTTGATTATCTGTAGAAAGAGGTATATGAAAATACATTATCCAATTAGTTTCAAGTTAACACACAAATTCAAATTAATCCAAAGTACTAAGTGGAAATTGTATTAACTAAGTAGGTTCCATTAAATCACAGGTTATTATTTTGCTGCAGCAAATTAAAATATCCAAAGAGAACGATCAGAGTTGCCTTAAAATAGGAAAACATTATCAAAGGCTGCAAGAGTCGCAAAATAAAAACTGTTATGAAACACAAAAACAAGATAAATGTATACAAAACATACCATTGGATTCATATTGTTAGTAGTTTATTCCTAATGTTACACGTAAAATCACTAAATAAATTTTCACTGTTGTTGTTGTTCACTATTTGTTCACTGATTGTCAATTGTTATCTAAAATTGTCTTCAATTGTCTTTATATAGTTAAAAGAATTCATTCCTCCCTATCCTTTGCAGTATTCCCGCCTCTTTCCACTTGTTTCTTGAAAAAATGAAAGCTCAACCTTATAACTGTATGATTAAGAGGTCAACCATTAACCGGCGTAGTTTAAGCAACAATTATGTCAACTAGTGTTTAATACATCCATAAGGTCACAAGGAAAAGGAACAAAAATCAAAATTAATAACCAATTCTAAGAAAAGCTGATTTAATCTGAGCATTTTAAATTGTAATATCAAACATCGACGAGAAAACGCAAGATGCAGACAAAATGAATTTGTTTCTTTATGAATGTGAAGATAAATTGTGATCGATCCATTATTCAATGAAGAAATCTAAACATGTGAAAATTGAACCTGAATTGGCAATCAAATAGTCAATCTGATTAGTGGAAAATTCAAACTATTGAGCTTTCTAATTCTTATTAAGTCTTCTTCTTTTAACTCACCTATGACAAGATTATGCTTCATTTTGTCGGATATTCTGATTCAGTTTTTCCCAATTTGAGTTACCGACATTTTTTATCACAACCATGTGTTATTTGGCCTATCTCGGTAATACCATTATTTCACATATTTACTTTAATATTTTTATCATTTTCATCATGTTACTCTCTTTGTCCTGAAACCGGCGGATATATTTGCCCACAGCCGTAATTTGTTCAAAGATATTGTTTTAACTCGCTCGGTCAACCAAGCAAAGTTGGTTAACACTTTAAGAAGGATATCCTGTAATAAGAAACGAATTAAATGTTCAGGTAAAATATTTTTTCGCCATACCAATAACAAATCTTACTTTCACTGAAACCTTGCAAAACAATCAACTTACATCTACCGGTTCAATTCAATGACAACAACCGGATTGCCTATCCTTTACACTTTCTTTATCAGCCAAGGTTTAAGTGTATAGTTAATCAATACATTTTTATTGTTACCATAATCTGTCTCATAATCTTTAGTTTCCGTAAATTTACTAGTCTGCATAATTAATGTAGGACAATGTAAATTATCTAATAGAGTTAAATATTCAATACTTTTCATGTATGATTAGTATGTCATTATTGACATACTAATGTATGGATATGTATGGATTGGTTTTGAGTTTTATTTGGTTCCAATATTTTGACATTGACGGTTTGGCTTTTCCCAACTCAATTTGATTTTTTAGCCATCAAATTTGTGCAAAAAAACGTTTTTGTTTCACCAAAATTACTTTTTTTTCTGGCAATTTGGAGAAAAGGTTCCCTCGATTGTTAAAAGTGAGTTGAATTTATCAAATAAGATCCAATTTTATTTTAAGTTAAAGTTGAGCTGGAAAATTTACACCACAAAAAATATTGATAATTTGAATATTAAATTACATTGCGTTAATCTTTCTTTGTATGTTTCTTCCTTTTATAATACATTCTGATTAGATGCCAGATCGAGAGGACCAATGGTACTGATACAGGCAAAAACAATGGAAAATAGACGGCATACTTCTGGTCTTCAGGAAAATATAATCTGGAAAGTAACGATGGATCGTAAAAAGCACTTTCAGAGGCATCAAATGCTTTACCACTTAACTCGTTGGCTCTCATGAGATTTCCTTCAGACAATAAATCAATAGAATGGTGTGAAAGTTCAGCTGCTGTATTCATTTTATCAGCAATCTCTTTGAAAATAACAATATTTTTCAATTTTCCGAGCAATTTATCAATTGATTCAAGCGATGATAGAGTTTTTGCTAAATGTTGTAAAGTCATTTGTCTCATTAGATAGTCCAATTCCCATTGAGAAAAGAAGATATTCCGACGGATTGAATTACTTGGTTGAATAGATGAGATACCCAGTAAATTTCTCATGAAAGATTTAAATGCTAAGTTGAAATCATTCTCTTTGTTCCAGAAAAATATTCCAGCTCGATAAGTTGTTTCAGCTGCAAAAGATTTTGATTTAGATTCTTTGTCATAAAAGTAAACTGAACTGTTTTTGGATGATGAAGGGATGATGACGTGAAGATGATAAGTCAACTTTATGTTAGGTTCCACAATTCGTGATTCAATTGCATTCAATAGAAGGCCAACTCTTGCTTTGTCAAAAAGTCGTTCATTACCAGCAGATGGTCCATTTGAATCGGTTACGAGATTTTTATCAATAAAATTTGAATCAAAACCATAATATACCATTTGACTCATAAAATTGATTGATATTAAATTGGAAATTCCACTATGTTGGATAAACGCTTCTTCTCCAAGTTTACGTGCATCTGAGATTAATTGTCTGGTTTTAAAATTTGTTGAGTCTTCGATATCTTCACTGATGAAGTTGACAATTAAATTTACTTCTCGATTCAGCAAATATTTTATATTCTCCTTTTCATCTATATCACTAGCACTAGTTAGAAGACGATCATGTTTAGCTGAAAAAGAAACAAAGATATTCAGGTTAGACAGGATATTGGACAGAAATTTTAATGGGTATTCACCAGATTTGTCAACTTACCTTCTAATACTGTTTCCAATGCATCTAATATATACATGATTAGTGACTTATCTTCATCAGCATCGACTACGCTCATTTCTTCATCCCGTACACCAATATAGATGAATCTATTTGATCCTAGAACGGTCACACTTTTCCCTAGTTTACGGACATTATTCATGTCAACCAGAAAAATGTAAATTCTTCCTGGCTTTTGGTGTGATTCAAGTTTAGCTAATTCTTGATCAAACGAATCGAGTGATTTGCTTTTAGACCAAACATCCTCCTCTTTTGGTGTCATCTTCCGAACTCTCCAATCAATCTTGTATGCTACACTGCCATCCGAAGAAATATGATTTGGAGGTAATTGTGACACTAAAGACTGTCTGTCCAAATCAACACCAATCACAACATTGATATCAACCGCATTAACCGTGGTTTGTAGGTGGACCATTAAAGATGCAACATCAGGTAAACTGTATCTGGAAGGAGATGTTGTTTTAAACCAAACTGGCAATCCAACAACAACAATTACTATAATGTAAAATATGGATGAAGCTAGACCAGTGATGTTTACATCTGAAGATTTATCTCCATCGGATTCACCGTCATCTCTGCTTACCAGATCATTGTCATCGTCATCAACACCAGTAGATTCTAAATTCGGAGGCAGTTTAAACTTCATTTTGTATTAAATAGCTAAGAAGTAAAAAATTTAATTAAATAACTTATAAATTACAAAAAAATAAACGAGAAAATCACCCCAGTTACACGGTTAAGGATGCAAACATACATTTGTTTTGAGACAGTTGCATCTGTTAGGGGATCACACAAAAATTTCACATGTCAGGTAAAAATCTTTCAAATCTAAATGAGCCTACAAATTGGTCATTTTATATTATTTTTATTCAATTTTTTTTCTTAAAACTAATTTTATACATTCATAATACATTTTTAAAGCTGAATCGAGATTTGAAAACGCAGTTTGAATTGTAAACTAGAAAATCGATGCATGAAAGTGTCAAGCTACTGCAAAAAAAGTGTAATTCGACTCGAAAGGCCACCACCAGGATTAGTTATTGAAATCTGAATTTAGCTTTTTAAACTCTACTTATTTTAGAGTATAATCACAGAATTTCAAATAACATTTTTCAACCGGTTCGAATATTAATATTTAATATTAGTAAATTTTACAATTTAATCTGATCTCTTCAAGTAAAAGCTAAACATGACAACAGAATTATTCAAAGTCACGATCTTGCATTTCATTGAGTAATGGATAACGATCTATTTTTTCCACTGGTTTATCAAAAAATGTCTTCTTAATAACGATGGCAGCGAAAATTCCAGCTCCGATGTAGAAACCACTGAATAGAGGTTTGAATGAATCCCAAGGCTTGGAAACTCTTCGATCGTATATCCAAGCATAATCTCTGCAAAAAAAGTAGATTCAAAATTGAAAATGTAAATGATTTTATATGCATTATTTTCAAGATAAATATTCTTTTGGCATTGATAAGTTACCTTATGAATGGATCTTTCAAGCCCTTTTTGGCTAATCTATCTCGATATTTTACAAGCTCAGGAAAATTGTCATCAATAACATTCCACTGTTTCCAATCAGGTATTTTAGCACCTTCTGGATAGTGAGGGCCATGTCCTCCATGACCATGACCATGTCCTCCATGTCCTCCCATGATGAAACTTGTAGTGTCTTTAAAATTTCAAAAGAAGAAATCAATTAAAAATGAGAATCAAATTATAATGTGGAGTCACATTATAAAAAGTAAATAACTAAATATATTACACACCTTTAAGATTTTTCAACGATTGGATGAGCAGTAATAAGTTTACGACAACGCTCGTTACTGTTTTGCAATAAAGTATGAACTAGAGTTAATTTCCTTTTCAAGGCAATTAATTTTTTGGATTTATCCTCTAGAACTATTAAAAATTGATCTCCTTCACTGTTTTCTTTCAACAGGCGTAAGGTTTCCAAAAGTGAATCAAGTTGACCTCTCAATGCCAATTGACTTTTCTCAACACGGTTAACTTGCTCTTCTAGATTAACTAGAACAGGCTCAAATATAGATATAATATGATCGCCCAAGGCTTGATTACCATCTGATGACATTGGTTGTCATCTGTAAAATAAAAAAAACAACAGAAAACCAAATAATTAAACTGAAATCCAAATAAAAAATTGAAATATCTTACCTTTTATCAATCCTTCCCAATTTTGTATACAAAGTCAACAAAAGTCACATGAGAAAATTTGGTGGTAAATTCAAAAGTCATTTTGAAATCTAAAAAAATTGAAATGAATTATTTTCGTTTAAAAGACTTTAAGTATTAATTAAGCAACAAAATATCTTTAACGTAATTAAATCATCTTGGATAAAATTAATAAAAGTGATATAATCAAATTATTTAAGGATAAACCAATGAAAAGCTCAAAATATTATTTTCATGTTTTAATTCAATCTAATAGAGGGCACCACTATTTCTTTAAAAATTTCTGGACATTTTACCGGTTTAATTTGGTTTGATTTTGCTTTTTATTTGTTTATCTATTGTTTATCTATTGAATTTAATTAGTTCCTGATGAATAATCATTCACCAAGAATGCTATTTTTGGCTTCTTTTCCGTCTAACTGCAACCAAGGAAGTATGTCTCGTGTTTAACCTGAAAGAAATCGTAATACTGATGATTCAATTCAATGTGAATGACTATCAACAATTTAAGGACATTTCATTTCAATTGACTCTTGATCTGATTGAAGCTCCTCGGTTACGAGATGGATAGATGTTTAATTAATTTCAACACTCAAGGTTGAGTCAATCAGTGAAAATCAACTAATGCCTTATTCTCTGATCACAATGTCGAATACCTTCAAACAATTTTAAAAGAGTGAAGCAGGTGGAAAATCCCGTTCATTATGGATCACCATCAGATGAGCTGAATCGATGATGTTTGAACAATTATACTGCCAAAATCATCCCCATTTCTTGGTATCGAATCACTTTGTATCAGTCTTCAATGCTCACATCAGATGGGTTATAATCATAGCAGCCTTCAGAAGCAACTGTGACCTTCTCTATGACTATCACTACAATCAAAAGCCAATCTGTGAGATCTTTTAATACGATATTGACGGAGTGGTACTATTGAACTGGAAATATCCATGCGAATCGATTGAAGTGCCAAAGAAGTACAAAAGAAGGACCGAGCAATTTCGAAGTTTCATGCAGAACCTATTGAATACACGAATTAATATGATTCAAAATAATGAATCCAAATTTTTTAGATAAGATAAATGCCTGATATAAATTTTTCAATGGACCTTCGCAGCTTCAAATAACATTGAAATACTTTAGTATCTGGACAATATGGACAAAACAATGGCAAGAGAAGACTGAAAGGAGCCAAAAATAAAATATGAAAGAGCAAAACCGGATCGAAAAATTGATTCAAATGATTGAATTTAATAGGAGCAAAAAGCAAGCTGGAATTGTAAATTTACGCGATTGCCATTTGAAACAAAGCAAAGCAAAGATGAATTTGTTCACACTTGATAAACAACAAAATGATTGATTAACAGCAACAGTTTAAGCAAGATAAACATGATAAAGCTCAATCAAATGCGAATCAGTAGGAAAAAAATGTAAAACCTGAGAAGGGCAAAGAGACTGAAAAATTGAACAATTGAAACATGCAAAACAAAGCTTTAGTGAAAGTAAAAGAAAAGCTGATAAAGAAAAAGATGATGAAAAATGGTGAGAAATGAGTACAAAACAAAATATTAGATGAAGATGAATATCTTTGGTTAATGTGATCATTTTTTTACCACCAGGTCAAAGGCGGGAAGTTGATGGCGTTAAAACTATGGATGATTTGCATGGAAAGCTACAAGAGAGAGAAGGAGAGAGAAAAAAGCAAGAAGATGATCGAGATGATGAGAGAGAGAATGTTGAGTTTTGTTTGAATTGAAGTGAAGATTATGCCTAAAGTCACGATTGAAAAAATGGCAAATAACTGCCATTAAGGCCATCCAAACCTGTCATTAAGCTCACCCCTCATCGGTCACTGGTGATTCCTTCATCATCATCATCCTGATCATCCTCATCTTCTTCACTACTCTGTACCTTCCCATTGCCTGAAAGATGCTCTACAAAGCTATTCTAGTTGCAGATATAAAAATAATATTTGTAAAAGGAGAGACAGAACAACAACAAAAAAAGTCAAAATAAGTTTACTATTTTAGCGCGTAAAAAAAGCTTCACAATATTTATCATTATTATAATGATCATCAACATAATAATCATTGGTTTTGAGTTTTTTTTGCTGTTGAATAAATAATCAGCTGAACATTTTGTCTTTGCAGTTGATTAACATTGACAGTTGATCAAAAGGCACTGACTTTTTTACTGATTTAATACTCAAATTGATGAGCATTAACATTTCACATTTCAATTGATTAACTGGCGTAAATCAAGTTAATAACATGAATAAATGAAATTACCAAATCAGCCAACTATCAGCCAACTATTAATCAATGAAGGTGCGCAAAGCAAAGAGTTAAGTGATGAGAAACAAGAAAAAAAAGATGAAAATGAAGATGAAAAAAAAGATGAAGCTTTGAAAGGTTTAAGTGAAAGCGCTTTTAAATATGCAAAGTACAGGGTAACCCTCAATGAGATCAGTTGATCTTTATAATTTTACCCTTTACACACACGGAAAGACACACACATAGTGAGAGTCAATCATTTTGCTGATAATACCAACAATTAGAAGCACTTGAATGAAGGGAAATGTTGGTTAAAACAAAAGATGAACATTTCACCGCATCTTTCCCAATCAAAAGTGAAAACTGATTGATATCCAAAAATGATTTCCATTTTTTTGCACTTTTTTACCTTCTTTCGCCAACCTTAACTTTATCCTCCTCTTCCTTCTCATCCTTCTGATCATCATCTTTCACAGTATATATTTTGGCCTGACTGGTTACCCTTAAGGCCTACAACCCGCATCATTAGGCCTGAACGAGAAGCAACGAAAGACTATCCAACAATTACGGTAAACACTACCTTTGAGTCCTTTACCTTTTTCCCTTGGTCATCATTCACATCGTAAAGGTTACCTTTTTGATTGTACCTTGAGTCACTTTCATATCTTGTTGCTGTTGTTGCTCATTATTATTACAAGCTTTTTACCTCGTTTGTAAGCAAATAGTTAACAAGGTATTGCAAGTCGATCACCTTTAGCTAAAAGATGATCATGAAGATGAAAATGGGTAACACTTGGACTTGAATTTTATCAACTCACATGTGAGAAGAGAAAAGAAGAATTTTTTGTTGTTCTTTTCTTTTCTTGCAAATTTCTTCTTCTTTGCTCCAAGGAAACTTTATCATCATCATCATCATCTTGATCATCTCTTCATCATCTGACAGCAATTATCCCAAGTGACCCTCTCTTAGCATTTTATCTCTCACTCATTCTCTTCTTTCCTTTTCTTCTTCTTCTTCTTCTTCTTTTTTCGAGAACATTTTTCTTCTTCTTACCTGTTCCCAGTTCCTGGTTATAGTGTTAAGATTTAGAATCAAGATGATGATGTGGATGGTGATGGGGATGACGAGGATAAAGGTCAGAAAAATGTTCTCCAAAAAACATCTAAATGTCTATTTTTCTTGTTCGTTGGTTCAGTTGAAGAAACTGGTGATCAAGAAAAAAGGTAATTTTCTCTTCTTTTCATCTTCTTTTCTCTTCTTCTCTATAATTCCAAAGCTCTCATCATCAGCATAATTTTCATCTTGTTCACATTTTAACCACATTCTGTCCATCACTAAATGTATGCAAACATTCAATTTCACAGTAAATCTCAATTACCATTGTTTGTCAACTTGAACAGTTAAACAAAAGCTAAACACTTTAGTCAATTTCAAGTTGATTTACATAAACATTAACGACACTCATTCGCACCTTTGTAAACCTTTAAAAAGCAAACAATTCAACAAAATATCAAACAATTAAAACTGTAAACAAACAGAATTGAAACAAAAAGAAGATGAAAAAATGGGAAAAAATCACTGATCTTTTTGTTAAACAATTTGATTAGATGAATGAGCAAACAAGAATCAATTTGAGGTTTGATTATTGCTACAAGAATCAAGTTAATAAGGTTAAATCCTAATTGACTGCACAATGAGCATACAAGGGATGAAAAAAAGACCAACAGTTAAATTGGAAACAATGGTAAACAAGAAATGTCTCTTTGTGAATACACAAGAGATGAAGATGAGGATGATAATGATGAAGAGGAGGGCGAAACTATCTATACTGGGTTTGATGTGAGAAGATAATTTGTTACCTGATCTCACTTTAAATCAAAGCAAATGCAAGAGTCAAACAGTGAGAGGTAAAAAGCTACTGATCAAAGATGAAGATAAAAGATGAGAGAGAGAGATGATGATAAGAGGATATAATCTTACGGTCAAGATATCCTATTTCCATAGGCACGCGTTTTCCTGCTGCAAACATTATTATACAGTAATCTGATTCTCAGTCTTTTGATACTTTACTTTTGTTTCTTTGTCAATCTTTATGAAACTCTGAAAGATGAAGAAAAATGATGCGATTCATGGAAAAGATGATTCTTCTTTCGTTACTCTTTTGTCACCTTTTTTGTTTATATTTCTTCATCTTCTTCGTCTTCCTTTCTTCATCCATTTCATATTCAATGTCGAGTCCAGTGAAAAGTGATGAAAATTGTCGACGCTTTTGGTTTCACTGTTGATTATTTTTTGTCTCGTTTTTTTGATCCTGTTTAAGAGTCATTTTACATCTCTAGTGAGGTGATGAAGAAACTTTTGTCAACAGAAGGAAAGAGTGAAAAATAATTGATCATGTTGATCATGATGATCAGGGTAAAGAAATGGAGAAGATGAAACATTTTTCTTACTCTTCTTTTCTGCTTCTTTTTATCATCTTTATCTTCTTCTCTCAGGCTTATAATTACAATCTGACGTAACCTAAATTTGATTGATTGTCTTTCATCTCGACTCAAGTCTTTTGTTCATTCATCATCATCTTACAGAGATGAATGTCTAGAAAAGTGAAACTTACTCCATTTGGATAATCAATTCAACTCTTTTCCATAAAATTTCATGAACGAATGGAAATTTTCTTTTGGAATTTAATGAAAAAATTGAAAGTAAATCAATGAGTATTTACGTTCTGATCAGAGTTGTCTCATTTTAATCAATCAATGAGAGAAGCAAAATGATCGATATTCGTAAAAAACTCTTCTAATGAACAAAACTCGAATAAAAATTGACCTTAACTTCATAACTCGAACATGAGACACTTGGTCACTCAAGTGGTTCCGAACAGCTTGTCCTTAAAGTTAATTTAATAATTGACAAAAAGCTTAATCTCACAGAGTCCCATCATTGAAACGATTGATCTTGAAGTGAATCTGTGTGAAGCTTTGATTGCTGTTCATTTCATGAAGTTTATTCTGAAATAAAATCGAGTTTGAAGGGAAAACTTTGTTCGAACATCATGATTGAAGATCGTTCTTATCTTGAAAACAAAGTATCCAAACTTAAGGTGACTTCCATCATTTATTGAGATTTAAAGTCACCTTTAACTTACACAGCCCTTCACCTATTTGTCCTTGTATTTGTGTTGTTTTGAAACACTAAACAATCTCATTTTTGAATCTGTCGTTGAATTGAGCAACAGCATTTAAAACCATTTGTCCAATGACAATGTTAACCAGTGTTACATCAACTTTTACCAACACATCGTAATCAGTTAATTAATAAAAGCATTTCATTTTGTTGACACTCCTCTCATCTTGATTCGTTGATTGTCATAATGAGCGAAATGAGTTTTGCTTATCTCTATTTAAAGCGTCACTTGACACATATTTACGACAGTTTAAGGAATGAAGCAAATTAAAGTGAAAGTGAAAAGCGTTACAATGTTGGTTGTTAGTGTGTGTCGTTACAAGAAAAAACAAGAAAACAGAAAGAACAAGGTAAAGCGAATCTAAATGAATGGATGAATGAATAGCGCCAAAAGTCATTGATACCTAACCTAATCAACCTAACTGTCTCAGTCCATAGACTCATCAAGCCCACCGGTTTGCTCGTGTAACTAGCAAACATTCAGTTACGGTTCACTAGGAAATTGTTGAGTGAAATGGCGACGACAACAGAAAACAAAAATCGGCGTCAGTATTAATCATTGCCGACGAATATTCCGACGGCCTCCTTCATCTTTATCCACCCTTTTAAGACTAAATAAGACAGTTAACAAGGTTAAAGGGTAAGAAGAAAGTGAGTTTATAGAGAGAGAGAGAGAGAGAGAGAGAGAAAAGCAAAGGTAAAAGTGGGCAGCAAAACAAGGAAAAAAGGAAAAGTGAAAACAATGGGTTTTTAGTAATAATTTTAAGCGAAAAGCCAACATTGGAAAGCGAAGCAAAGGGTTAGGCATGATGATAATGAAGAGGAGGAGAAAGTTGTCTGAAGAAGATGATATGGAGAAGAGAAGGAAAGATTAAAAGCGAAAGGTAAAAAGTCAAGAGAAGAGAAGAGAAGAAGAAACAAAATAAAATGCTAAAAGAGTGAAAGGTCATTATCGAAACGGTTCGGGAGGTCAAAAGTGAAGGGAAAGATACGAGGAGAGAAGAGAGTGAATTGTTGATGTGTCTGTGTTTAATTAAACGCGAAGAGCGAAAGCAAATGAACACAAATTTGTTGAGAAAAGATAACGAAGTGAACTAAGCAAACGTCATTTAACACCAAGCAAGCATTTTGGACACACAAATGCACTTTGAATGAAACCAGTTTATCAGACTCGTGCGCATTCAGATAAACTCCACCTTTCAAGAGCCTTTTGCCAACCCAAAAGTGAAAAAAAAACTGATCACAAGCAACTCAACTTTGAAGCAGACAAGTTAGTCAAAGTGAAAGTCAGCCGTGTTTTCAGATCGTCTTTTAGTTCAGTGTATTTTCAAGAAAATTTCAAGTGATTTTTGTTTTTTTTTCTCGTCTTCTTCTTCTCCTTCTCATCTTAATCATCTTCTCCTTCGTTGTTGTTGTTGTGTAAAATGGACATTTTCCAGTGAATTTTGTTGTAAAAATATTCTAGTGTCAATTTAAGCATGAGTTCTCATCACCACAGTTATTCAGCAATCCGTTCATCTTACCCAGGAACTCAATCAGCCCATGAAGCCTTTGCTCAAGCACAGGCTCCAATTGGAGATTATCCTTTTCCACCAATGAACAATTCTTATACACATCACACTGGACACTCTTATATGAACTCGTATCCATCCAACATCACCTCATTTCCAGCCTGTCCAACACCTCCAAGAGACGGTAAGTTTTTTTACCTTTGACCAAAAAAACCAAAAAAAACGCTAAACATCTGGAAATGAGCAAAAGTTAAAAAACAGTTTTCTTCTTTTCTCTTTCTTTCCAAATATTCACCTTTTCATTTCAACTTTACCCTGTTTTTTCTCTCTCTCTTTCCCATGTTGTAAAAACTCCAATGGACTATTGTGTGTTATGTGCATCATCACAGAGAAACCAACATTGGAGGAAATATCTCGTGTAAATGGTAAAAATAAAAAAAACCGGAAACCTCGTACAATTTATTCAAGTATTCAACTTCAACAGCTTAACAGACGATTTCAAAGGACACAGTATTTAGCTTTACCCGAAAGAGCTGAGTTAGCAGCATCACTAGGATTGACTCAAACACAGGTAAGCAAAGATACCATTTATCTAACACTGAAACCGAAGATGAAACAGTCATGAAACATCAAATTAAAACGAAAGAAAAGAAGAAAGTAAAGAGACAAAAAATGATGCCAAAACATCCATTGATCAGTCTAGAACAGATGAAAATGATAAAACAATTTTTTGACTAAACTCACTTTTTTTTTCTTTGAATGAAAAATTCTAACATGATATCTGACTGTTCATGTTGAAGGCCAAATGAATAACCAATTTGCAAGCAACAAAAAAGTCTAATAAGAAATGGTTAGAAGAAGAGAACGAAATAAATGAATAAGAAAAGGAGAAAAGAGAAAAATAAATGAAATAATAACAATTTTCATGATTGAGTGAGAAAAGGTATTCCGTGATTATGTTCAGAATGAAAGATGAAGAGAAAAAAAAGAAAACAAAATTGTTGGTGAATTTGTTGATAACCAATATATATATAAATATATATATATATTTATATTAAATGTATGTTAATACAGCCAAAAATGCTGATTAACTTATAACCTGTAAGAGATGAATGAAGCTTTGCGTGTTTACCTGTTATGGGCCAATCCATTGTTATCTTGTTTCGCCTTCGCCTTTACCTTTCGTCATCAACAAGGAAAAGATTCTTACCTTGTCCACCGTAACTTCATCATCATCATCTTTTGTCTGACCATCAGAAGGGAATCTTTTCTTCTTTTTTCTTCTTCTTTTCGCTTCATTCTTTATACCATTCACAATTTGATATATTTCATACTCAGGTATTTTCCATCACGCAATATCCAAATATTTTTTTCTTACCTTTCCTAATCTTGTTGATGTTTACATGTCCACTTTAAATTATCGTTAAGAACCGAAGAAAAGAAAACGAATTATGAATAAAGAAAAAAAAGTGTTCAAAAGGCAACAGATAAGGTAATAAACTTGAAAAGGCAATGAATTTAAATTGTCCAAATTGTTGGCCGAAAAAAGAAATTGGTCAAAATTTCATTTTTTTCAACATTCATTTCATGATGCTACTGGTCATCATCCAATATTGAAATGTTTTCACTTTTCTTTTTTTCTTCTTTTTCCTCTTCTTTTCTTCCATCATCTTAGTGTTAACATTTTCTTCCTTAAGGTTATCTTTTTTACCTTCTCATCTTACCTTTTCTTTCCACTTTTCATTTACCTTTTCAATCAACATTTACCTTTGTAAAATGTAACGCAACAGAAAAGATCACTTTTCTTTTTGTTTACTTCTCTCCGTTTTCCTCCTTTTCACACATTTTTCATTCATTTTTGGCGCTCTTTTAAACACTTAACCAACTTCAATTGATTACAATCATTAGTTGATCGGACAATTAACCACAATTACATGGTCATCAAGTTCATTGAAACAATCAATTTACCTTTTTTTACCTTTCACTCAGTTGTGACTATTTTCAACTTCCATTAAAATGTATCATTACCAATTGAATATCATCATTAAAATCATGACCTTACATTTTGTCACATAAAGGTCAACATTTTTGGTTTTAACTTTTGTAAACTTTTGTGCAAAAATGGTTCAAACCAGGAAACACAAAAGTGTTTAAAAAAGTTTTTCATTTTTTCTTCTTCTTCTTGTGAAGACTTGAGTTTCCGATTGTAAATGTTCAGGTACGAACGGAAGATATTAGAACCCTTTTTTTCGCCGACTTCAACTCTTCGATTGAAAAGTTTGATAAAAAGCGTTGTGACAATTTCGCAGTTGAACAACCTTTAGCCAACTCTCTCTTCTTACCTTTCACCTAACTTGCCTTAAAATTTGATAAAATATTTTTCTCTCTTTTTCTTTGCATCCTGTCCTTTCTCATCTAACTACAATTTTTTCAACTTCATCTTGCTTCATCAACGAACTAAATTTTTTCTTCTCTCTCTTTCTCTTCTTTATCCACTTCGTTATTAGCAGCTTATCCTTTTTCATAACAGCTTACCTGATCAAAGTAGCCCAATAATATTTTTGGTTGAAAACTTTTTGAAGCGTGAAATTTGGTTCCAATATTGTGTTCACTTGTATTAGTTTGTTGATAAGTTTCCTTAAATCATTACCTTACTCATTCATTCAGCACACTTGAGTCTCTTCGTTCTTCCTTTCTCTCTCTTTCTCTCTCTCTTTTCTTTCTGATTCTTTTTTTTCTTCTTCTTCACCCAGTACACAGTCGACTGAATTTCCAGTTTACTTCAATATCGTGAGCACGATCAATACCTGTAAAAATTCTGACGAAAAAGAGAGAAGAAGAAAAAGAAGAAGAAGGATGTTTGTTTCCAGTAATTTTGCACTTTTTCCCCTTTTCTACCTTTACGCGAGCAACCAAATAAACAATCGCACAATAACACACAAAATGTGCACACAAACAGTCAGACTTGTTTTGTGTGAGCAACACGAAAAATCAATATCTAAAAATAAAGTCGAACAGAACAGCAAAAAAAAAGTTCGAGTAAAGAGAAGCACATTACTCTTTCTTGACTTTCATTTCCCTTATCGCGCCATTTACAAGTTGAAACCAAAAAACCAAAAAAAAACTTTACTTCCTTCAAAGAAGCAAAGCAAAACCCAACTCAACTGCCTTTCCCTCAACCTAAAGGTTAGTCTAGTCAGGTTGAGCTGAGCCTCACCATCGGCCTCTTCATGTGAACAACTAGACCTCGATACAGTTGAACATGCAACACTAAATCAACTTGTCTACTTGGCTTGTTACACTCTTTTGACTTTTTTTCATTTTTCATCTTTTCTTTTTCTTTCATTTTCAGTAAACTTTTTCTACTTGAAACTTGACTAACTTTTTTTTGTACATTTTTACTTTTGCTATTACGTTGACTAATTATGATTATTGCATCAGTTGATTTTGTATGCACGAATCTCTTGTCAAGCTTGACGTTTATTAATGCAAATACTGTACAATGCAAAGAAAGGGGGAAAATTTCGTTCTCATCATCATTATCTTCATCATCTTGAAGCTAGCAAGAAAAAGTGCAAAAGACGATATTATGCATTCTTTCCTTGCCACCTGTTTACTATTAATATAAACAATCAATGAAATATGCGTGTAATCTACCTGTTGACATATCGATAGTGACACGTAATGATCAGCAAAGTTTTGGGTAAATATTTACTTTTGCCTTTGCAAAAATGCAAAACCAAACAGCTTTCCATTTTATCCGACTTGACCAGTTTTATCATGAAAAACATGAACTGGGAAATGAACAGCAAATTCACATGAACTTAAAAAAAGGGATAAAAATGATTCGATTGAAGCAAAGCAAAAAGCGAAAGTTGATTGTAATTGTTGAGAATTGGTTGAAAGAACAGAAATTTTTTTGTCAACTTTTTTTCTCAACATTTTTGATATTTATTTTTATCAATTTATTTACTTTTTCCTACCTGTTACCTGTTAATGAGAGACTCGAAACAAAAAGTTGAAAGTGATATCATCATGTTGATACAGTAAACACACTCAAGATGAAAGCAGCGGCAAGAGCATCAAAAAAGGTTGAAAAAAATGAAGAAGTTGAAGCGTTCCAAAGTGCTTGTAGTTGATCAGTAAATCGGAAAAAGTAACTCAACTTTTGTGATTCACTTTTATTTATTTACCTTTTTTTCAAGTGATTTTTTCCTCACTTAGCTGGCTTCAGAATTTACAGAATCTTCACTTTGTTTCATTAACCGGCCAACATGTTTATTTGTTTTTATTGTAAAGTAAAAGCTGTTCAATTGGTGAACAAGTAAACGGCAAGTGAGGAAGAAGGTAAAAAAATGGGAAAACAAAATGTATCACAATCATCATGCATGAAATAATCTCAGATGATTGAAATTGATTGAAGAGAGAAAAGAGAGGGAAAAAGAAAGAGACATTTTCTCATTGAATCTCAACACTTCCGTGAACACTTTTCTCACCTTTTTTTGTGTGTTGCCTTCTTTGTCAACCCTTTCTCGAATAATATTCAAGATTCAGATTCAATATGAAAAGTGTTATCCGAAAACAACTTGATGAAAGTAATGGTTAAAAAGAAAAATAAAGTTAATCCTTTTTTGTTCTTAAGATCACTTTTTTCTTAGAAGATGACCTGATTTGCGTCTTTCTCCTTTTACCCCTTTAACAAGGTAAGGTAAAGGAAAGGCTTGAAAACTCAATGTTATTATCACACACAAGTTAAAAGTCAATTACTATTATTTTCCAAGAAGAAGAAAATTCTGCCAAATTTTGCTCAGTTTCTCGCTTTTTGGCTCTCTTTCTCTTTTAAAGTGCAACCAATACACAACCAAAATTCATGATGACCAAAATTTTCTTGGAATTTACATCTTTGTTCGCAATTTCACTTTCTTACCTTTTCTTGAAAAGCAAACGGCAGCTGAAAAGTAGGACAAATCGCCAAGAGAACCATTTAGCCAAGGTTAAATACTAGATTGAATAACTTAATATTCAACTGAAAAATGAAATATTCACTAACATCAGACGGACTTAATTATCGATTGCTACCCATAGAGTTGCTATTATATTAACCACTAATCAGCAAGAAAACCTTAAAACACTTAAAAAGAACGAAACTTTTATCGAAAGTCAATTTGCTTTTTTTACAGCCTTTCGCAGGTTTGACAAGAAAGCAAATTTAATGCAAAATAAATCGATGATTTGACTTATGGTTAAAACTCTGGTTAGCGCTAGTCGTTGGTGTGAAGACTAAAAAAGCTTGAGCTCATTAGCAATAATCCAATTTATCAAGATGAAGAGGTCAACTTTGATCATCAAGTGTTGACCTTTTGTCATTGAGAATATTTTTTACCAAATTTTATTGTTACACTAATAATTCAAAGTAACCCGATAATGTTTAAGCCGCTTTGGAGCAACAGTTAGCCGGTCGCTCAGCCTCTTGAGCCTGAGAAAGTGAAGTGTAAAAAAAATGCAACATTTTTTGCTTCACCAAGTATTAACATTTTGTTGTGCAAAAATGAAACTTTGATTAACATTGTA